ATGCTATGCAAACTGAACCATGGAAAGAGAAGGGAAGTCATTGATATTTTAAGGTTGTTTAAATGAACACACACACACACACACACACACACACACACTGCTTTTTTTTCTGGGGGGGGGACGCAAGGGTACACATACCCCTAAACATTTTGTGAGTCTAAGTTTGGCCTCACTGAAGGGCAGTATTTCAATATGAGTAGGAAAATGAGAATACCCTTAATTTTTTTTTAGAAAAAAGCACTGTGTGTGTGTGTGTGTGTACACACACACACACACGCTTTGTAGTGCTACAACTCCACCTTCTACATCTCAATACTTGCTTAAGTTTGTTACTGCATAGCTTTAAAAATTAAATAACCTGCCCATGCCACATTAGGATTAACCCATGTCAAATCAGGTGTGTAACCCTCCCCTGGTCCTAATTGAAATTTGATCCCAAGCACACTTGCTAAGGGAAGAAAGCATTGGCTGGGTTGATGTTTTGCTCTTTAAATCTAGCTAAATTGGGATGTATCCAATGCTTGGGTGTGTATACACTGTGTGATCATTTGCATTCAGTGCTGGATACAAACACTCTTGTGGGTGCTGTACACATGACATCATTCCTACATCATCCAAAGTGCATTCTGCAGGGGCTGTTTTAATCCATTTTGTGCTGAGAATGTGCTTCTCAAGGGTTTGCTGTTGCCACAGAGAGTGTCCTATAGGTCACCAAGTGATGCTGCAGAGCTGTACCATTCCTCATCTCCTACCAGACTGCCACTATATTCCTACCAGACTTCCACTATATTAAAAAAAGTGTGAAAAAATATTTTAAAAGCGAGGAACTGTATGCGCGCGCATGTGTGTGCAGGTAGGTGTTTCATTGTTTCCACCAGTGCTTAGGGGGCATGGACACACTAATTAATGGACTAATTAATAGACTGCACAGATAGGTAACTCTTGCTTCAGGCAGCATTATCATATGAAGGTATGTACAGTTGCAAAGCACCATGTACCAAAGCAGCCTGTGGGAAAATGAGTCCTGTGTGTTTCAAACTCTAGTGCGTATGTGTTTTGCCCTTCCTCCCAAGGGAGCACAGGTGACAACATACTCTTAGTCCTTCTCAGAATACGCCCATTAATAAAAATAATAATGGGAATGACTAACTTACATCTGTTCTAACTCTGTTGGATACTATCTTTCAAGCAGGAGCATAGGGAGCTGCCTTATACTGAATCAGACCATTGGGTCCATCTTGCTCAGTATTGTCTACACTCTACACTAACTGGCAGCAATGCTCTCCAAGCTTTCATGCAGGGACACTCTTCCCCAGCCCCACCTGGAGATGCTGTCAGGGATTGAACCCAGGGCCTTCTGCAGGCAAAGCAAATGCTCTCCCCACTGAGCTACAGCCCTTCTCTCGGCCAATCACCTTCGAGCATACTTCTCTAGTTACACACAACAGAATTGATCATTATTGAAAACAGATGTGGAAGACAGAGGGGCATTTGCTATTAAGGACCACAAATATTAGTTGGGGACATGGGAAGTGGACCTAATTTCACTTGTAATACAGAGGTACCTCTGGTTAAGAACTTAATTCATTCCGGAGCTCCGTTCTTAACCTGAAACTGTTCTTAACCTGAAGCACCACTTTAGCCTCCTGCTGCCACACGATTTCTGTTCTCATCCTGAAGTAAAGTTCTTAACCCAAGGTACTACTTCCGGGTTAGCGGAGTCTGTAACCTGAAGCGTTTGTAACCCGAAGCGTTTGTAACCCGAGGTACCACTGTACTTGTGTAGCTAGCCACTTGGGCACCTGGGGTGCAGGGTGTGCGTGGGGCTGGGGCAGGGCGCCCTTGGGGGTGGGGTGAGGCGCCGCAGGGTGAGGTGCCCACAGGGCGGGGCAGGCATGCTAGAATTCCAGTGTCCAAGCCGCGTTCCGCCCTGGCACCCTGTAGTTCCGCGTTGCTTTTTGAGCAGCATACAGCCTTCAGGGATTCTACTTGCCACCTCCGCATCAGCTGTAGGGCGGCTGAGAGGGAGGCAACGGGTGGATGCAAACCCCACACTGCTCTTTCGAACAGCGCAGACTCAGAGCCTGTAGATGCCTGAGCCACCACATCACTCCCAGGAGAGTGCTCTGTAGGCCCCTTGTTAAGTGCCGCCCCCCACTATGCCTCTGATATAGCTGCCCTCTGTGTCAGTTGTTTCCTTTATCATTTGCAGCTTGAAGTTTTTATACAGCAGTGCAGTGGAGCAGGGATGAAGCACTGACACTGATTTCCTGGGGTGCTTTGTGCCAATATTTTGCATGTCAAATAAGCAAGTTTTTCTCAGAGAGAAACCCACCAAATACCTGTAAGCTAAGCAGAAAAAGGTGCTGCTACTTTTAATTTGAAAAATTCCAAAATGCCTTTATTCTGATCAAAATGTTACACAATATTAAGCAACCTTTTGCATGCACCAGCAGTCTTAAGCTGGGGGTCAGGGGAGAGAAAAGGTGGCTTAGTATTGAAACCATAGTCTACATTGCTCAAAACTTCATTTTTGTTATGTAGACTCAGAAGGATGTGGCTACAAGGCTTGTCATTTCAGAACATGCCACTATAGCATACTACTTAGTGAGGGGGTCAATGCCTCCCTAATATTTTTCAGCAAGCCATTCTGTAGTACACACATACTGCAAATTATTCACACATCTGCTGTGTCACTATTGTGACATAAAAATATAATAATAACATGGTAATGAAATAGAATTGTAATCAAATAGCAATTATTATAATTATATAGCACCTATAGAAAAACAGAGTAGTTACCAACAGTGTTAACTGATTTTACTACTGTATTTTAAAATGGTTGTAACCTACCCTGTGATCTCAAAATGGTAGTTACTTGAGCTTTGTTTAAGGAAATAAATAATAGTGCAATCCTAGTCATGTCTGTCACAGAAATAAGTCCTATTGAATTCAAGGGACTGACTCCCAGGTAAGTGTGCTTAAGACTGCAGCTTGGTTAGTAGTTGTATGCCACTTTTCCGTATACATTACACTCAAAGTAGTTCAACAAAGCACAACAAAAGGCAGATCTGAAGATACAGGAACAGGGTAAAACCCTCTAGCCTGGGTGGTGAAAGGCAGTCAGAGAAGCTATTTCCTCTGGCCACAGTGGTCATACTTTAATATGGTTAATTTAAAAAAAAAAACCCTGGACAGAAATTGCATTGCACCTGCGGGATTTGATTATATGTTCTCTGTCACAGAGTATTTTGAGAAAACTTTAATTGTGCTGCTAGAGTTGAAATCATTTCAATCATTTGAAGAAATACTTAGGACAGAACTAATATTTCAAATGGAGCTCAACATTTTGGTTTTGAGATTTTCTTTGGTTTGGCAGGGTGTGCTGGAGGAGACTCTTGAGAGTCCCATGGACTGCAAGAAGATCAAACCTCTCCATTCTTAAGGAAATCAGCCCTGAGTGCTCACTGGAAAGGACAGATCCTGTAAGCTGAGGCTGCAATACTTTGGCTGCCTCATGAGAAGAGAAGACTCCCTGGAAAAGACCCTGATGTTGGGAAAGATTGAGGGCACAAGGAGAAGGGGACAACAGAGGATGAGATGGTTGGACAGTGTTCTCGAAGCTACCAGCATGAGTTTGACCAAACTGCGGGAGGCAGTGGAAGACATTAGTGCCTGGCGTGCTCTGGTCCACGAAGAGTCGGACGTAACTAAACGACTAAACAACAACAGCAACAATAAACAGTTTGATAGTTGTTTGGCAGACAGAAAAATAGTCTAATTTCCATGCCACTAAAGGCTCCACCTTCTAAGTTTCTGCCTTCCAAGTGCTCTAGAGTATCTAAAGGCAGGGAGATGATTATGGGTGTGGAACTGGTTTTATTTTAATTTATATATATAGCTGGAACAAATGTAGGAAAAAGAAAGCCCTGAGATAACCTGAGGGAAGCTGAAGTTCACAATCTGCATACAGTATACTAGGGAAGTCCATGTGTGGTTACCAAGCAAGGACTTTTCTACAAGTTTGCATGTATATTTGTTTTTTATACTGAAGAAAATAAGATATTTTACAAATAATACAAATGATGATTGCTCCAGGTTAAGTGGATTAGGGTAAATGCTTGAAGTCCAAAGTATTTTGTTATGCATCTAGCTTCTAGCAATAAAATCTGACATTAGGCCAATGTACACAACCTGTTTCTGGTTTTTTTTCCCAGTAATCCACCCATACCGAATTGAGGTGTGGTAAACCAGTGGCGTGAATCAGCTACGGCAAATATAAGCTGTTGACTGGATTTTCTCAAAAAAATGCATGGCACATGAAGAGATGACTTATGATTCATAAACCATCTCTTCACATAACCAGTTTGCCGTAGCTACAGCAAAGTTATGAATAAAAAAGCTTCTGTGCTTTTATGCAGAAACTGAGCAGGGGAATGATTTCAGGGCATAAATAAGAGGGATGTGGGGGGAAAGGCTTTGCCTGTTTAGGTCATGTAGCTGTTCAAGGAACAGAAGAAGCTATTCTCCAAAACTGTGGCAACATTCGATGCGCAGGGAACAGAAGATGAAAAGGAAAGCATGGAAGTGATTTTTTTGAAATTAAAATACAAGGTACTGGCCTACATCCAGTTTACCTGCAAATCAGCCCTGTGTCACTGAACGCACTTAACTCCCTATTAAATGCATACCTTTTTAATTGTATTTCAGCAGCGGAAGTTAAGATTCAGAAATCTTGCCAAGTGATCTCTCTCGGCTGGCAATCGTCCCCGTGTTCTGCCCAGCTAATGGGTAGCACTTTCTCATCTCTTACTCGTTTGTAATTTATTTGTTTTCGTTATAAGCGGCCACCTTGCACAGCTACCTCTTTATTGTGTTTTTAATAGTCTGTTGGGAGCCGACCAGAGTGACTGGGCGGCAAACCCAGCCAGATGAGTGGGGTATAAAATCATCATCATCGTCGTCATCATCATCATCCCAAGTCCTTTCCTCCTGTAAGGTGCTCTGGAAAACAGCAACAACGACACGTAAAGTAACTAAATAAATGTTCTCGGATGCCCTTTAGCTTGACACCCTCACCACCCCACCCTCCCAATGCTCTCCCAATACCAAATACAGCTCCTTGCTTTAGTCAGGGACCAGGATCTTGCGCGGAGGACTACGACCCCCGAAATGCACCGGGCCTCCCCTCAGAGAGTCTCGAGGGGAGGAAGTGTTGCCTGAGGAGAAGGCGGCTTTCGGTTGGGCCGGGGGTCCTGTGGTCGTTTGCAAGGAGGGGGAATTGGCTTCGGGCAAAGAGCAAAAGTCCCTGAGAGGGGGTTGGGGGGTGAGGGGCGTAGGTAGCGGCCATGTCAGAGGGAGGCGGCACCTGCGAGACCGACAGCGATGAGACGATAGTGGAGGGTTCCGTCCCTGAGAGCGACGGGGACGAAGAGGAGCTGCTCGCCAGGAGGTGACAAATACACACAAACACACACACACACGTTACAATTAGTTGTGCAAACACTTCACAGAGGCATCACAAGTCACCCTCTGGGGCTGACTGTAAGTGTCTGAATACTGGCAAAGGGTGTGTGGCTACTCAGAAGTAAGCCGCTCTGAGTTCAGTGGGGCTTGCTCATCTGGTATAGGATTACAGTTGGTCCTGTAATAAAGGCCTCCCGTTGACCAGGATATGCCAGTTGCTTCTGTTACTCATTCAGATGCATGGTAAAATTAATGGTGTGTGTGGCCCTTCCGCCCATATAACCGTCCTAAATGACTGCCTACTCTCTCCTCCACATAACTTCCCAAACAGAAAACAAAAGTCGCTCACGGTCCTAAGCATACAACCAACCACCCGTGGGATTTCATTGTGCTTTTTTGAGGTCCCCTATTTGGAAACATAGTCTTCAGTCAAATGGTTCAGGTATGGTTCACTGTAAAAATGGCAATTAAGGTTCCTGAAGGTGTGTCTTGCAACTCTTGCCTCCTCAAGTTCAGTTAACGAATACAAAAGCAGGAAAGGGTTTGTGAGATCAATGGTGTTGGGGGCACAGGCAGCTGGTGCAATCCCTCTCCCAACACCACACATCAGTATTTCACAAATAACAGTATGTCTTGTGAACAGGGTTTCTGCATCAAGCTCCTGAATCTATATGGGGTGGCAAAATCTCAGAGGTTTTTGGCAAGGCCTGAGCCTCTAACCCCTCTCTTACCTTTACCACACTGCAGTGGAAATGTGCTCTAAATACCACAGCTCCTTAAAACTTTCATATCAGTCTAGCTAAGTTCTTGGCAGGAGTAAACCCAGCATATCCTCCCTTTTAAATAAATAAGTAAATGATATACAGTACAAATATTTGGTACTGAAGAGACAGGAACATAGTTTTCTTTCTCCTCCCCCCCATAAGATTTTATTAAAGCTTTTTTGTGATACAATAAAACAAAAGGAATAAACCTAGATAAAAACAAAGAGAAAAGAAAATGCAGAGTCTTGACTCTTAACCAGTGCTTTTTTCAGGGGGTGCGCAAGGGTACACAGTACCAGCACCTCTTTTTTAGTTGTGTGGCACTTACTGTAATATCTTCATGGTGAGTACCAGCACCTATTTATCTAGGAAAAAAATAATTGCTCTTAACCCTTATCTCACACAAAAATTAGTGGACCTTCCCAGCTCTCACCTGGGAGCTTTCCTGTCTTCTTCCAGTCACTCACCCTGGGAGGTCTTCTCTTCTCTGGCTCTTATCCAGGGTCCTTCCACCCATCCATAATCTTCAAGTGTGTGTAATCCTGAACCCCAATAACAGCCCAGAGCAGAGGACACCATAGTAAAGAGAGGGAGAGAGAAGAAAAAAGATAAAAAGAAGAGACGTATACAGTGGTACCTCGGGTTAAGTACTTAATTCATTCCGGAGGTCCGTACTTAACCTGAAACTGTTCTTAACCTGAAGCACCACTTTAGCTAATGGGGCCTCCTGCTGCCGTCGCGCCGCCGGAGCCTGATTTCTGTTCTTATCCTGAAGCAAAGTTCTTAACCTGAAGCACTATTTCTAGGTTAGCGGAGTGTGTAACCTGAAGCGTATGTAACCCGAGGTACCACTGTATAAGACGAAGAAAAAAGTAGAGAAAAATATAAAGGACTTAATGATTTCCGTTTGTTAGTTACATAGAAGAAATTATTTATCCTATGTTGTCTGCTTGCATTCCCAATCTCCTGAGGTAGAATGTAAAATGCATCCAGTCAGATATCCAAATGATAATTTCAAAAACAAGAGCTTTCTTCAAACAAGGATTCCTGGGATTCAGACTAGGATAGTGGTATTTTAAGAATACCAGTGAATGGCAATTAATAACTAAATTACCTTTTAGTTTGTGCACAAGTAGTAAAGGGGTGGAATTTTTGTTTTATTTTTAAGTGTAATTTATGTGAGAATGTTCCAGGTTATTTTAAAGAAGTACATATTTGCATAGGATAGTGAGAACAGTTACATAAGTATGATTTTTACTAATCCTGGGGGTGTGGTTACTGAAGAATGTTGGATTATGTTAAGTAACTAACTGAGGAATGTAATTAACTATGTTCTACATTTTCATAGAATCATAGAATTGTAGAGTTGGAAAGGACCTGAGGGTTATCTAGTCCAACCCCCTGCAATATAGAAACCCTGCCCACACCCGTCCCTGGGTGGACTTGAACCGCCAACTTTCTTGTTAACAGCCAGATGCACTGACCCATTGCACCACTGGGGGTCGTCATTTTTTAAAAAAGAAACAAGTTATGTACTTCATGCAAATATGAAACAAACAAATAAATTTGCTGCTTTGCATAAAAAGATATATATTTCATTTCTGTATGCCTTGTAAAACATGGAATTGTGTAGACTAGTGCCTGCTGTCCTGGTTTAGGTACTGTATCTATGCATGTCCTTTCATTAAATTACACTCTTGGAAATATCAGAGTTTGAAGACAGTGTGCATGTGGACCTTTGTTTGTTGTTATGTAAAAAACTGAGTCATAATTCCATTTAGATGTGGCATTGATCCATTATTTGAATATTGAGCTAGATTTAGTTTATTAATGTCAAATCCAGATCCAGCAGAACTTTATTTTGACCAAATTCTGCTATTAGGATAAATATAGCATAGTTCTATGATAAATATAGAATACCTTGAATCATAGACTTGAATCATAAATTCATAGAGTTGCAAGGGTGCCTTAGGATCATCTAGTCCCAACTCCCTGCAATGCAGGAACATTCAGATGTGCCTTATGGGGATCAAACCTTCAACCATGGCATTATCAGCAGCACGCTGTAATCAACAGAGCTACTATATGTGTTAAAATTCACATATTCATAGATTGGTTCATGATTAAAATATTTTAATTAGATTTTTTTTACTTTGATCACCTAATCAGGACCAAGCCAAGGCAACTTGCTTCTTGAGACAAACGCTAAAGATAGTGCCCTCTGCATTCTACATGCAGAAACCAATTAAGAGGCAGTTCAATCTTAATTATGAAACTAACAAGGTGCGTGTTTTACTGCACTACAAGATAGCAGGCTACAATAGGGAGTGCAGGGCAGTATGTGGGGCACATGCAGCTCTTTCCTCCAACACTTTGGTGCTACTTGCTCACTGCTCCACCTGGTGTCTTTTCACTTCCCACTCAAATGCTGTAAAGCAACAGCGGCACCATAGCTGCTACCACCACCAACATGTATCATGTGAGCAGAGCAATACATATGTGATGCCTGCTGGAATACCTGCTCACCTGATTAGGGGTAGGGGAGTCAACTTGAATAAAATATTGGGGGGGGGGCAGGTAAGCCCCGCCCTGCATAATTGATCATAATATGTGGCACATGCATACTATTTGAATGCCAATGTCCATCAACGTGGGGCAGCCCCCCAAATATTTTATTGCGAGGAGCAAAGGGACATCGACCCCAAGGAGTTGGCTCCTATGATTATGGGTATTTCCCATCATTGCTGTCTCTGATATGTTGGGAAACATCTTACTTGCCCAGTCCAGCAACAAGCAAGATTCACTACTGGTGGGTTGCTGGCTCAGTAAGATAGGAATGGTGGATGGGGGAGGACCCTGGGGAGTGGCTGTGGGGGCTACTCACACCCACAGCACCTCCTGCCTGGGTTGGTTGTATAGCTGTCAACTTTTCCCTTTTCTTGTGAGGAATCCTATTCGGAATAAGGGAATTTCCCTTAAAAAAAGGAAAATGTTGACAGCTATGGTTGGTTGTCTCAATCTAATGGTAGGGCTGGGTTTTTTTTAATCTAATGCATAAAAAGTTAGCTGTGATCAATGTGTTGTAGGGAAAGAATAAGAACCTCCTCCCCCACAGCTGGAAATAGTAGCAAAAGACACAGTGGAGAAATGGATCTAAAAGAGCAAGATTCAGGAGAAAGTACATGATATATGTGGGATAGGATAAATTCCTTTTAAATACAAGAGAGATAGCATCTCTTGTTCCAAGCTGGGGCAGGTTATTGTGTTCACCACTCAGGTGTGGCTTCTTTTAATAATAGAAATATTGAACAGGGAAGATTTATTACTATAGGTAAAGGTAAAGGTACCCCTGCCCGTACGGGCCAGTCTTGACAGACTCTAGGGTTGTGCGCCCATCTCACTCAAGAGGCCAGGGGCCAGCGCTGTCCGAAGACACTTCCAGGTCATGTGGCCAGCATGACGAAGCTGCTCTGGCAAGCCAGAGCCGCACACGGAACGCCATTTACCTTCCCGCTAGTAAGCGGTCCCTATTTATCTACTTGCACCCGGGGGTGCTTTCGAACTGCTAGGTTGGCAGGCGCTGGGACCGAGCAGCGGGAGCGCACCCCGCCGCGGGGATTCGAACCGCCAACCTTTCGATCGGCAAGCCCTAGGCGCTGAGGTTTTTACCCACAGCGCCACCCGCGTCCCTTATTACTATAGGTTCTGTATTAAATATCAGATGGTGTGACATCTGTTAATGTATTCAAGGGTGTAAGCAGATGTTTTCTGCGTTACATCTGCCAGAAATTGCATCAGAATGAATGGATGTACTTACAAGCAGGGTTTAATTAAAATCAGAAAATTATGACATTAATCCAATAATTACAACTTTCATCTAAAAATCACCTGATCATCTAATTTTGCAATTTTTCATGCAATATAACTCATCAGATGTGTTGGGCTGTTGGAATCCTTTAGATTTTTCAGTTGCATAATTATGTTACTTAATCTTAATTACAGGTTGTTAAGTACAAAATGTACATTGTTCCAATCTGTCCTGCTTCCTTCAGTCTCCTCACCTGGTTGCTACTTATTCCTTCAAACCTTGCTAAGCTTCACTTAGACTTACAGTCTAAAGATGATGCTTTCTCATTTGTCTGTCTTGGTTTCCTTAACTGACAACTCTAATAAGTATTCTTCAAGTCATCAATATAATCTGATCTTCATAGAATCAAGGGAACCATGGCTTTAACAAATTGCCTGGTTGTAGCCCTTATCCACCCAAGAATTCCATGTTGGCCAGTGAGCAAGCTGGTGGAGGATGGATGGAACTCATGAGAGAGCCCTTCTAGGTCAGTCCACTTTGTTTCTGTTCTAGCCATGAGAGAAGGAAAGCCCCTTCCTATGCAAATTCATCTGAAAATGCACACTGCTAACCTCTTAGCAGACTGATGACTTTTGTGGGTTTATTTCCAAGGCTGAATTAACAACCATGCAACAACCATGCAGGGACATAACAAAGGAAGATCTGCCATTGAAACCAAGAACTGTTTAGTTGAGATTCTTGCATTGCAGGGGGTTGTAGTAGATGACCCTTCCAGCTCTACAATTCTATGATTATATATTATCTTCTTCCTGCTGAATGTTCTGGCTGCTGCTGTGACTGTCCCCTCCTCTTCCCGTTGATAGATGCTTTCTATGGCTTGTTGCCTGACGCAAGAGGAGGTTGCATTGCTTCCATCTCTGGTACCCCACTGTCGGGTGGTTCCTTTCCCTGCTCAATCACCTGCCCGCTCACTACCACTGCCACCTCTTCCTGAAAAAGAAAGTGCTTGCAGCTGGATGCCTGTGATGGAAGCAAACAGTATAATGCTCCCACCTCAGTCAACTGGCTGTGGGCTGCTTCATTCCCCAACAGGTGGAGGAAGTAGTAGTTAAAGCATAAGCCAGCAAGGAGTAGCAGGATGATATTCTAGCATTTGCTTTGCTGGAATACTGTGGGCACACATACACTTAAAATGCATCCACAGTGCTTTGTGTTTCTTTTTATATTTTGCCCTTACATGCTTGTTATAGAAGCGATAGAGAACAGTTCACTTCATGTTTATAAAATGATTTTAATGGACATGAATAAGTAGCTCACTCCTTTGCAGGAGTAAGTAAAACCAGAATGCCTTATCTTTCTTTATCAGGTCTGAATCTTGCAAATTAATTTCTAGATATCACCATAACAGGCTATTTAGAAATAGAGAAGCTACATTTTCAGAGGTCATGTGTTTAGGTCATGGAGCAGGAAGTCTAACAGATATCTGAGTGCTAGATGGCTTTTTGATTGCAACTTTGCCTTCAGTTTTGCCTTGAGCATGTGCCCTTTGTGGGTTGTTATTTTTTAACTATATCTGTATTCCTCCTCTATATTCCTAATCACACACCTTTTATTCAGAAGGAAATTTACCATGCTAACCTGTTTCTCAGATACTCAGAAAAATATACGGACAAACTCAGTGCTTTTTATCTTGTGGTATGCACTGATATGCAGTACCAGCACCTCCATCCCCCTCAGAGCCTTGCACCTTTCCCCCAAAGCCCAGGAAGCTTCTACCTGGCTTAGGGAAGGAGGCACGATGTTCTGGCAGGGCCTGAGAGCCCTCCCACCTCCTTCCTAAAGCTTCCCCAGTTTTGGGAAGGAGGCAGGAGGGCTGCAGGATCCCTCACACCCCCCTTCTCAAAGCCTGGGAAGCTTCTGCCCAGCTTAGGAAGGGAGGTGCAATGCTCTGGCAGGGTCTGAGAGCCCTCCCTTGTAGGCTGAGTACTAGCACCTTTTTTCTAGAAAAAAAGCACTGGACAATCTACATCTTTCATTGAACAGCCCAAGCTTCAGGACTGTAGTCAGAGAGATGGCAAAGGAGGGCTCTCGGACCCTGCCAGAGCAATGTTTTGTTATCAGCAATAAAAAGATAGTGATAGATTTGAGGTTTTAGGTTTTTTTTTTTTTGAGTAAGAAAAAAAACATCATTTTTCTAAAGCCATACCGGTAATTTGGATGTATCATTATATCAGCCACCTGTCACGCACCACCAAGTGCAGAATTGGATGGAAAAAAGTTAGAACTGATTATCTTTTTACAGCCCAATACTGTCCATGTTTGTTTGGAAGTAAGACCTACTATACTCATTGGGACTTACTCCCAAGTAAATATGATTACAACTGCAGCCTTAGTCTCCCTGATTTCAACTGTTTAAGTTTTAGATAACATACGTATGTTTTGTTTTAGAAATAGTGCCTTTTAAGTACTTTAGAAATCCTGATGATTTCATGCATTTGTGTGCAACAAATTGTTACCATACATTCATCATTATATCACCTACAAATAAGTGTGAAGGATCTGAGTAAAACAGAGATTACAATCAAGCCTAAATCACCCAAACATGCAAAGTTAATTAATGTTATCTGTTCTTTTCCTTTCTAGAGCTGGGATAAACTGTCCCATCAGTGTTACAGGTATTTGCCAACTTGATCATTCACCAGTTGCTACTGTACATGGATGATACAAGCTTTTTATCTGCATGTTTATGTAATGGAGAGTAACTTGTTTAAGTATAGTTATTACACAGTTTGCAGAAAATATCAAACAGATGTATCTATATACAGCACAGTAAGGAACTAAATGGCTTTTGGAGTTTCAGTCTCAGAAAGGAGTTTGTAATTGGCCTCCAATTTCTGTGCAGTGGTTTTACGTAATGCCTATTAGCGTGGTCACCTAGAACTTCACAAGGCAGTGCAGTCCATTAAGAGGAAGGTTACCTAAATCCATTGTGAAATGATTTCTTCCTCCCTCCCACCCTGCCCTTATACTGCATCCCATAATTCTGGATTTGAACTAAATTGCCAGAGCAGAAGACTCATATACCCTGGAGGTACCTGTTCCCATTAGCCCTATTCAGCTTAAGTAAGGCTTAAACTAGGGAGGGGTTACATACACAACCCACCCCCAATATATACATCTATTTCAGGCCCACCATTTAGCACCATTTGAAGGAGGATTCTAAGTGCATTTGGGTGAATGTGCTTACAAACTTCCCTGCGATCAGGACCCTTGATAATGCAGAGCTCCTAATCAAGAGAAGAATTGTAAGCACACTCACTCGTAACATTCCCCTTCAGACTTTCATGCCGAACATGGGAAGTTGTGAACTGGAACAGGTGCATATGTGGACATTGGGAGAGCGCCATGAGCCAAAAACCTAAATAGTGCTGTAACTGCCTTAGGACATAGAGAACATACTTTCAAGTTCATAAGTACTTTCATTCAAGGTTAGATGTTAAGCAAAATAACATACAAAAGAATGTTGGTGAATAAAATGGGAAAGTCTGCAATTTGTAAGTTTTATAATGGATTGCACAAAGTACTTGGAGATTTAATGAGATTCAACCATCTTTGGCTGCAGGAAGATCTTATTTCATATAGCTATATAAAAATGTACACACTGCCTTTTTAGTACACATATTTTGCACAAGACTGATTACTTCTATTAAAATCACAATGTAGAAAATAGCAACAATAGTAGAAATCTAATAAACACAATATATCAACCACACATTAAAGGTATGCCAGTGACATCAGCAAGCTTGTCAAAGGTTCCTGTTGTTATCCCTTTCAAAATAGAAAAGCCATCCATCAGGTCCAAATTAGATGTTACATAGAAATTCCATGATTGACACTCTCCACGCCTTTTTCTTTCTTAAGAAATGAAAGTCCCAGTTTGCTTGGGGATCAGTCCTTGTGGGGAAGTCTAACCCTTTGCCCCGGTTGTCAGTGGTCAGATCCAAATCGCCCTCCCCCCAGAAGCTGCTATTAGTCATAGGGGGGAAATGTAGAGGCACACAAATTGTGCCTGTAAAGGGCAAACTAGACACATTTTTTGGTTATGTAAATAGCAGCCACAGGCAAGTTTGAGCAGTCTTGGGGCCATAGAGAGTCCATAGTCCTGATGACAATTACCTCTCTGAAGCTGCTATTTGTATTTCAAGGGATGCTCCCACTGGTGTAAGGGGAAGCTTCTGGATAAAAGTTCTGCTTGTTAAGTTACAGATTAATTTTAGGTGACACACTAGGTATAAAGTTAATAGAAGCTTTATTGTGAAGGGAGGCTATGCTTTCCTCATAGGTGGTCAGAAGCTCTTTTTCCTTCAGTTCCAGGATGGCTAAATTTGGTATTTACTGTTTCCCTTCAAAGACCATACTATGTTTTAAAGGATATTCAAAGTGATATGCATTGAAGAGAAAATTTAAAATTCACTTATTTGCTGTTGTTTTAGGTTTATATTCTGAAGTGGCTGGATTTCTGGAAACAAACAGAAATGTAGGTCTGTTAGTGTTCCCCTCCCCCCCAATTGTAACTATATAATCTCTGTTTTTCAATTAATTTATGCCTCATTGAATTCCCCCTTCCCCCGTGAAAGCCTACGAACATGTTTTCTCCAGATATTTATTACATAAACAAACAAACAAATAACTGTAATCTTAACAAGGATGCGGGTGGCGCTGTGGGTTAAACCACAGAGCCTAGGGCTTGCCGATCAGAAGGTTGGCGGTTCGAATCCCCGCGACGGGGTGAGCTCCCGTTGCTCGGTCCCTGCTCCTGCCAACCTAGCAGTTCAAAAGCACGTCAAAGTGCAAGTAGATAAATAGGTACCGCTCTGGCGGGAAGGTAAACGGCTTTTCCGTGCGCTGCTCTGGTTCGCCAGAAGCGGCTTAGACATGCTGGCCACATGACCCGGAAGCTGTACGCCGGTTCCCTCGGCCAATAAAGCGAGATGAGCGCCGCAACCCCAGAGTCTGTCACGACTGGACCTAATGGTCAGGGGTCCCTTTACCTTTACCTAATCTTAACAAAGATGTCATTTCAAACATTCAGTCTGAGCTTGAGCTTGCTGTTTTTATGCAAATCAATCAGCATGCCCATAGGATGTGTATAATGATACAGTGCAGAAGTTATTGTGATACAAATTATTACACCATACAAGATTGTGAAAGAATGTAACAGGTGAGACTTGCCAACATAGTATGTTGAGTATTGAAAATGTATTTTTGTAATTTTCCTGCAGTAGCTCCATTGGTTCTATTATGAGCACTGAGCTAGATGTGATATTAATTGCATGAATGAAATTAACACACACAATTTTTCTTATGTAACTAGCAGCCTTGGAACCTTGGGGAAGGGAAGTTTAACTTTTTCTTCTCCCTGCCGTGGTCCTGACCAAAATAGCTTCTTTGAAGCTGCCATTTGCATTTCAAGAGTAACTATTTTTGTTGGGACCATGGAAGAGAGAGATTTTTTTTTAAACTTTGTGTGCTTGTGACACCCCATCATTTACTCATACACAGAAGACACCAATCAGTGCATGGCAATAGCTAAACAATTTTGTGATTTCACTCTATCCAGGATACACACAAAAGATAACAGGGTAGCCACAAAGACAACATGTCACCCTCCCAAGTGAAGACCTCCATAGCATAGTGAACAGGAAGGTGGCATCCCTAGTAACCATGTACTCCAAGTTTCTCCACAGAAAGGGTTTTGATTCCCTTGACATCCATGTCATTTTGATCATTCCCTGTCATCCTATCCAACCACAGTTCTCATGTCCACTTATTTGATTTCCTGTGTCTTGCTAGCATTATCCCAGCAGATTTCACTCCATTCAGCCCCCTCTCTGCTGGTTGACTTGTCATAATATCACAGCACACTGGAGAAAGCAAGAAGATTATTGGAGCCCACCATATTGCCTATGCTGATGCTCTAGTAGTAGACCTCCAATTGTACTAAAGAAAACAGTTTTTCTTCAGCTTTTTTACAGTGGGTTATGTATGTTTTCTGGGTGGGTTCCCAGGCTAATAACAGGACCAGGTTTTAAATTTATTATTTGGTATTGTGTTATGGTACTTTATGCTGTGGAGCACTTTGATATTTTATGTAAATGGGCATTTAGAAATATTTTTATCAATCAATTTATTTTTTGCATTTATACTTTCCCATTAACTCACTCCTCTGGGGAGTTATCAACTTTATGAAAAATAGAAAATACAAGACAGAGAAAATTAAAATAAAACCAATTTTTAAGCAATACATATCAACCCACAAAGCCATCTAAAGACCAGAGAAAATACATAGCTTTAGCAGTACAATTGCATCAAATACCTTCATGTCATAAGAAAAAATATAACAATGAATGAATGAATGATACTGAGAAAAACATTTAAATGTAAAAGACTAATAACGAGTAAAAGTTGGCTGTAAGCTCCCTGGAAGCAGACTGAGGGATCATAAGAAACCATTAAAGTTTTTAGCAAAGTGTATCAGGGTAAACCCTTTTTCTTTAAGTATCTTAAAACTATTATGTAAATATACAGTCTAGTAAATTGTGCACTTTTGTCTCAGATTAAAAGAAATATAATAGAACTGGGGAAGGTACAAAAACAGCTGTTTTAAAAAGCCATTTAAAAAAGCTATTTTAAAAAGAGCTATGAAGAGGAAGCAGCAGTTTCTTTGAAGAAAGCTTTGCAAATGTGTGCTTTTGAGTGTTAAATTAGCATATGTTTTTATCATTAGCTTACAGAGACTTTAAATGTTGAAGTGTCTCCAGAAATAAGCCTTCTTTCTGGTATGGATGCAATAGAGGATTCAATTCCACAAGATACAGAGATGTCAGAGGTTTTTCAAATTGTCAGTAAGGAAGATATGACAGAAAACCATCCATTTGAAACAGTGCAATCAAGTATAAGTGTAGATGAAACAATGGCTGTGGAATTTGAAGATTTGATGGAACCACTTGATGATTCTGAGACCCTCAAAATGCTTGACATATTGGAAAATCAGGATGGTGCTATTTCTATGGCTAAGGCTGTAAATAAGGAGAGCAATGCCCTGCCTGTAGAGCTTCTCACAGCTCTGAACTCCTTGTCAGAATCTGCAGCAGCATCTGTCTGTCAGCCAGAAGGCAAGGGAAGTTGGTTCATCATCGCAGACAAACAACCGACACCAGACCAAACAGATGGTGATTGCACACAAATAACAGATATAAATGTAAAATGTCAGCTTCAGATAAAACACCTTGAAGAAACAGAAGCTTTAATGATGACCACATTGCCATATCCTTCAGAGGAACAAGTATGTATACTTTAAAGTTGAAATGTTGGTTTACAATTTATATTCACATTAATGTTTATTGAAATGTTAACTTGCCGTTTATATTCACAAAACCATCTTATACCCCAAATAAGCCTATTGTTTGTGTATAACATTCCTAGGTAAGTGATGTATGTTTTTATTACCTTGCCTCTCATTAAAGTTGCATACGTACTGCCATTGTTAGGATAAGCAACCTCGCTTCTTCCCTGCTGTCTTGTACAACAGTGATACCTGCATTGTAAAGCCCTCTTATTATAAGTTTACTGTTTGCTCAACCAGCCTTCTCTTTCTATTTTTCCTTCTGCAATCCACTGTACCCCTGACAACCCCATGGTGTGTGTGTGTGTGTGTGTGTGTGTGTGTGTGCATGCTCCTGAACAGTGAACAGCAATGGGGTATAGGGCTGCAGTGGGAAGGAGGAATAATCCCAAATCAGATGGAAGGATGTTATTTAAGTGAGAGCTTTGCTGACACAAGAGTCCTCTGGTATTCAGGTGATTCCCTCTCTCACTGCAGCTTCATATGACATGGTCCACACTTGTACAGTACATGGAGCTGCAGGAAGGAAGCAGAAGAACAGCTGCCTTCCACTATTATTTTTAATTATCATTTATTAAATTTATATATTGCCATTCATCTGAAGATCTTTTCTTAGCATCCGTCTCTCTATTGAGAGACAACAGAGTGCGCCTCTGGGGGTGAGGTCAAACTGCTGGAGAATCACAGCACCTGCTGTGGCTGCAGAGACTGGTAACCAGAACATTTAGCACCAGCTTGGCTGCTGGAGTTGCTGGAAGGAGGTGTACAAGACACCGTTCAGCCATTTTACTTCATTCCAGATTTGTGTAGGGTTTACTCCTTAGCCTTTTATTTCCCTAAGATGACCCACAAGGCACCGGGTATCTGAGGATGGCTTATACCATTGGTCCATATAGCTCAGTATTGTCTACACTGATCGGCAGCATTGCTCCAGTGTTTCAGATTGAGGGTCTTCCAGCTCTACTTGGGAATGCTAGAAATTGAACCTGGGACTTTTTGCATTTAAAACAAAGACATTGTAGTCCCTCTTACCCTTCAGACCCATTTCCTCCCCAGAAGCTTCTACAAGGAAGTCCCCACCCACCTCAAGTGCAACTGAAGGTTCTTCGGTGACCAGGACATTTCGTCTGTCTTGATAATTTGCCTTTGCATGTTTGTTTCTGGTATGTATGTATGTGTGTATGAAGAAATGTAGGTTGTGCATCGTCACTAAACAAATCCATAGATTGATTACATTTCCTCTGTATATCAGTACCAACAACTTCCCATTTACATACATTCAAGGCATATGTGACCATTCCTGTTGCACAAAAAGGCATAAAAACAGTGTAACAATCTGATGAGCCTTTGCAAAAGCCCTTGTGCAAACTGTGGTGAATTGGAGTTTGAGCAAGGTGGTTTGGAGGGTGTTTGCTGGCTTTTTCAATGGTGTTCACGCAATTTCACTTAAACGTGTGGTGCCTCGGAACCCAACCCCCGTGTAAATGGGGAGCTGTCTTTATATCAAAACACCAATTTCCAACCCCTCTCTTTTGAAAGAGTGTAAAAATATTTTTAAGGGTCTACTGAAACAGTAATTGAGGGAATAGGAATAGAGAACACCATTGCTCATTGGTTTGAAAACATGCCCCCTTGTGTATATAGTCAGCATGGCTTCATGTTATTGTGTGATAAAAGGTAAAGTGACCCCTGACCATTAGATCCAGTCGTGACCGACTCTGGGGTTGCGGCGCTCATCTTGCTTTACTGGCCGAGGAAGCCAGCGTACAGCTTCCGGGTCATGTGTTCAGCATGACAAAGCTGCTTCTGGCGAACCAGAGCAGCGCTCGGAAACGCCGTTTACCTTCCTGCCGGAGCGGTACCCATTTATCTACTTGCACTTTGACGTGCTTTCAAACTGCTAGGTTGGCAGGAGCTGGGACCGAGCAACAGGAGCTCACCCCGTCGCTGGGATTCGAACCGCCGACCTTCTGATCGGCAAGTCCTAGGCTCTGTGGTTTAACCCACAGCGTCCCTTGCATGTACAATTGCAAACTGCTGTGTACACTGTGAAAAAAATAACCCTTGTGTGTTTCATAGGGTGTGTGTATACACAGCCCCAGAACAGACAGATGAAACTACTTTTTCACACCGCACATAGTTGAACTATGAAATTTGCTCCTGTAAGAGGCAGTGATGGCCACCCACTTGTGTGGATTAGACATTTTTTTATGGAGGGTAAGACTATCAGTGACTACTACGCATGATAGCTGTGTTTTGCCTCCACTGTCATAGACACTATCTCCCTGAAGAGCTGTTGCTGGGAATCACAAGTGGAGAGAGTGCTGTTGCATCCAGGTCCTGGTTGTGGGATTTCCATAGGCCACTCTGAGAGCAGGATGCTGGGCTAGATGGGCCTTTGTTCAGATCCAGCAGAGCTCTTCTTACATGGTTACACTCAATGGAACAGCAATTATGCAGACTATAGGTATCAACAAGGAAAGAAGCATCAGAGATTTTCTCCCCTTGGTTGCTTCAGGGAATGAGGAAGATAAGTAGCAGCAGAGCACTCAGATTTCTGGAACTTACATCATTTACAAATGCGAAGCCTGATAACTGGTTTGTGATAATTTTCATTGCATAGTTCTGTTAAAGAGTTCTAAAACAAGCTTAACTTGTTGATTTATGTTGCTTGAATTAGACAAGGTTGGTGGCATGACATTCAGTAGGATATATCAGCAAACACTGGTTAGGGGGAGGATGCAACGTTGCACAACATTTCCAGTTAGTAATAATTGATAATCAGTTTTAATATCCAGAACTGCTAGGCTTATGCCATAGGAGGAGTGCTTGCATCTAAGGCAGGCCCTTTAGATGTTGTTTGACTCTGATCATCGCTAACCACTGCCCATGCTAGCTGGGACTAATGGATGTTGGACTCCATCAACCTCTGGAGGGGTACAGGTTCCCCATTTCTGTTTCATTAGCATGCTCTTTTAAGTGACTGTAGCTCAAATGCATCTGTAGTTCTAAGGTGCCATAGCACCATTTGGTCATACTAGAAGATAACTCAGAAACAGTAAAATGCAGTGGCTCACCTTCTAAGTGGAGTTAATAGTCAGAGCTATGTTGGACCTGTTTTAAAAGATTTTCACTGGCTACCAGCTTTGTTCCTGTCCACCCTTCGTCACCAGTATGGATTACCTTTGCAGAGAGTGGGACAAGGGGAGTACGACTTCTTCATCTCTCATTGACATATGATACCATCAACCATGAAATCGTCCTGGTCCAGCTCCAGGAAATGGGAATTGGGGGCACTGTATTACAGTCATTCCAAACTTACCTTCAGGACTGAATCCAGAAAGTAGCATTGAGAGTGTGCCTTTTGACCCCCTGGCAGCTACATTATGGGGTAACCACATTAACTGCAATCAACATTAATGTCTAAGAGATTCTTCTACCTTCAGAAGATTCAACAGGAAAGCTGTTGTCAAATCTTGCAGATGTAGTCACAGTGCTAGAAACCCCTTATAGATAACAGTATCATTCTTACGCACGTTACCGGTAAATAGTTATGTGAATAAAAAATAACTGAAAATTGCTACAACTTCACAGTTTTAAAAGTTATTGTTCATAACATCTGTTTTTTGCATTAAATAATCATCTGCACTGAAGCTATATGCATACAGAGAAGTAGAAGATTCTTTCTATAAAATATTTTACCTTCTAAAGTAATTGGGTATGTGAAGGAAATGCAATGTGATATTCTCCCCCCCCCCCCAAAAAAGCCCCATCCAGCTCAAGGAAGAAACACAGGATTGTGTAACTAGAAAAAGCACCATTCTTCACATACATTGTATAGCTCAGTTATCTCTTTTCTTGTGAAGGAAATGACATCTAACCTTTGTCAGAAAAATATAGGGGTTATGGTAAAAGGCTGACTCATGAGAATTTGACTAAACCTATGTTGCTTGTCCTGGAAGTTCTCTAAATTTGACAGTGATTTCATTGTTCATACTTTTAAAACAGAAGTTTAAATACATGTAGCTGTACCCAGGGTTGCCATATTTCAGTGTAAAGCACCTGGGTTTTCCTGGACATTTTTCTGATTTACAAAAATTCCACCCTGACACTATTTCCGACGGATGAATCCCAGATATGTCCTGGAAATCTCGGATATATGGTAGCCCTAAGATGTACCAATATGTTTTACTGCTCTACTAATAATTTTGACCTCTTTTATAATTGTTATTTCACAGATTGGCTTTAGTCAGAATATGCACAAATTAGTCCATTCAGACCATCAGAATATTTCCTCTCGTGACAGACCAGCTGAAAAAGGAGATTCCATTTTAAAGGATAGCAGTTCATGTGAACAAACTATCCAGGTTGCTTCATGTACATTAAAGAATTCAGCACAAAAAAGGAAGAAGCTTACTCTAAATGATACTGATCCTACTTCCAATTGTCAGTTTCTAGAAGGGATGCATCAGAATAGACACAGTTTTGAGGCTCAAACAAGAGAGTAAGCTAATGGTTTTGAATATGATAAATTTTTTACAGTGGTTAATGGGAAAGCTTATATTAAATATAACATTTTTACCACTTTGAGATGTTTTATATAATGTGTTATGGAAATGAAAATAATAAAATAAATAAGAATATCCTGAGTAGGTAAAACCAAAAAAAGTTTCCATGTGAAGTTTGGGTGAGACTAAATATACAGTTTTCCCTATCCTTTTTAAAAAAAATGTTTTAATATATATATGCACATCATGCGGAGTATAGAGAAATGCATTTGGTAATTTAAAATGTTTTGTTTGTCAGCAGATCTGACACTAAAGATAAGGAAGATGACTGTTCACAGATGGGAACTGTATTATGCCACTTCTCAACTACAGATACAAATACTAAAGTTGAGCAAGTGAGGAAAAGTCAGAGGATTGCCAAGAAAAGAAGTAAGCAGTGTTTTTTTTATCTTCTGTAGCCTGAAGGACATATGCTCCCCCCCCCCCCGCTAAATATGTCACTGTGGCAAAGTGTCCCAGTTCATGTTACCATTTCTGGGCATTAACAGAAGCTCTGCGTCCATCGCTATCAATTCTCTGTCTTGTACTGGGTTGGAAGAAACTATTGCAACCCAACGTGGAATTAAATTAGAGCAAGGGACACCTTCATTTTCTAGGTCTAAGCAAGGAGGCTTCACTGGCATTTCCCCTTACTCAAATCCAAAGGCCAAAGTACATGCAGTTTATGCTCTGCATCCAGCAAATGTCTCATTTGGCCCTCCATGCTAAGCTCATGATCCTCAATATTACCTCAGGTTTGGGGTAGGGGATAACATTTGATTCAGTTAAAGGTGAACCTACCTAATTCGCACTTTTTAAAACAATATGTGATCAAAAAAGCCTTCTTTTGAAATTCACATTTCTCTTAATTTTGCAGTGTTGTTCTCCAATTTATGTGTACGATAATGCTCATACTAGGGTAAAGTGTTCCTAAAAAGCCATATACTGGTGTTGGTAATGTACAAAAATGAATTGCAAAACTGTGTGTATTGGGCAAAATTGTGCACAAACACGTGCATATTAAGAGAAATTCACACTTAAATGAGAATGAATTTCAATGAGGGCATTTGAAATTTTGTTTTGCAAACTGATGTGGAAATGTGGAGAAAAGAACTTAAGGCTGCAAAAATGAGAAACTGAAAGAAACCAAAATTGATTGATTTGTCCACCCCTATGCCAGATTCAATTTCACCACATCATCCTTATTGAGTAGAAAGCTCTTAGTGCTTGGGCATGCAGTTTGCTTCTTGGCCATTAGAGCCAGTTCCTATTACTTTTAGAAGACATTTTTTAATTGGAGCTGCATCAGCATTTGAAATCCATGATCACTTGGTTGGGCATGAAGTATTCATGTTTGCCTATATGAGTAGGTGCTGTGGGGAACCTTAGTTGATTGGGAATTCTCCACTGTATCCATTTATATCACACACATACATTTTAAAATATTGTAAGTTGCATATTTATCATGTAGGATATACATACATACTAAAACAGCATTATGTGTCTGTTCTGCAAATACCACTACTGTCTTGGTTTGTACAATAAATCTGCAAGCATCAGGAAGCAGTAATTACAAGTTAAAAGCACAATCCATTGATACATGACTTCTTGTTATCCAGCAGAGGGCAATGGTTATAGTACTTAGTAACTTTGGATTGGCAATTGGAAGTTTTGCTTTAATTACCGTACATGTATTTATTTAGTACATATGTGCATGTGCCATCTTGTAATATTTTTTTTAATGTGTGGGGCAGCTTATAAATAAAAGAAATGTATTTGCTAAAATAAATAAGCTAAATTTGTTGCCTGTTGTTCATGATACCCTTTCAAATGTTTGAAACATTGAGTTTAATATGCATATTGTGTTAAATATGCAACTCAGTTATTTGATATTAAATACATGAATAACATTAGTTGTTCAGTTAACTTTTTTACTTTGAATAAATTATTATTTATTTATTAAATTTCTGTACTGCTCTTCATCTAAAAATCACAGGGCAGTTTACAATATACAAACACAAAAATGCATACTGTAATAATAAACCATAACAATAACCCCAGTAGGTAAATGTCTTTCTTCCTTCAACTTTTATTCATGAAAATAAAATGGGTTTGTTTACTGTTCCTTTCCATTCAGAATGTTATTAACAATTCAGTTCTAGGCATGTCTAATCTAAATTGAGCCCCAATGAGAGGTAAGGTTTTGCACTGTATTTTTTATATATATATTTTAATTGGAAATTGTATTTTTATCATTTATGTGTAAGCCACCTTGAGTGAGTTTTACTCATAACCAGAAACACTTTAAATAATATTTATAAGAAAAATAGTCCTTGGGTAAGTGAGTATAAAATAATTATTTTTATTCCTTTATTTATTACTCCTACTATACCACAAAGGTCTCAAGGGAATTTACATTTATGTAGATTGCAGCATGTCTCCATTGTCTGGTATAGGCTATTTTTGCAGCCATAACACTGTATGCAGTTTGTTCACAATCCCTCTTAAGATATTTTGTCTATGGCATTAGGGACATGGAATTCAGCTCTGTTACAACTTCAGATATATTTCTGTAATTAATGATACATTAGACCAGAGTTTTCCAAACTTTTCATGTTGGTCACACGCTTTTTAGACATGCATCATTTTGCGACACAGTAATTCAGTTTTACTAGCAAACTAGAGGTTAAACGAACCCCTTTCCAGCCCTGGGAGGAGTTCAGTAAGCATTTGCATGGCACATCTACGCCCTGCAGCCAACACACTAACATGTCACAACCTACAGTTTGGAAAGCTCTGCATTAAACCATGATTGACAGGAACAAACTAATACGATTAGATTAGACAACAATAAGCAACCTGCAATATTTTTTGCTTATTGCATCCTTTGTGTATATTTCTCAGGGAGGCAAGCCACTTGGAACAGTTCCTCTAACTCCTCGTATAACTACATTTCACTATCCAAAATCAATAGAAGAGACAGATTTGGCCAGACATTATTGCACAGAGCTGCTGTGGAAGATGACCTAAAGGGTTTACGTGCAATGATAAAAGCTGGTGGAAATGTAAATACTCAGGATTGTGCAGGTGAGCAGAATCTCCAATGTTAATTTCATCCAATGATGAAATAATAATGTGTAATAATAAACTTGAGCGGACGCGGGTGGCGCTGTGGGTTAAAGCCTCAGTGCCTAGGACTTGCTGATCAAAAGGTCAGCGGTTCGAATCCCCGCGGCGGGGTGCGCTCCCGTCGCTCGGTTCCAGCGCCTGCCAACCTAGCAGTTCGAAAGCACCCCTGGGTGCAAGTAGATAAATAGGGACCGCTTACTGGCGGGAAGGTAAACGGCGTTCCGTGTGCTGCGCTGGCTTGCCAGATGCAGCTTGTCACGCTGGCCACGTGACCTGGAAGTGTCTGCGGACAGCGCTGGCTCCCGGCCTCTAGAGTGAGATGAGCGCACAACCCTAGAGTCTGTCAAGACTGGCCCGTACGGGCAGGGGTACCTTTACCTTTTAATAATAAACTTGAGCAAGGCACAACTTAATGCTAAGCATGTTTACTTATCATGTGTTCTGTGATATGCTAGTTTTACAGTATAAGTAAGTGCTTAGGGCTGGGCCTGTAATTTGTGTTAACTACCATTTTGTGAAATGGTAGTTAACACAAATCATCTCCTGCTCATTCCAGGAGAAAAGGGGGAAACTCTGGGAAATTGAAACCAAACATAACTGTGCATGAGTTCTGTTTAGTACATAAAGGGGTTCAGATCAGAGAGCTGTGTTCCTAGACTCAACTAGGTCATGCCCCCACCTCCGATGAGGGAGGAAATGAAGCTTCTTCTCTTTCCTTTCCTCACCCTCTTTGTGCCATGTACCAAACCATGAAGGACATGTCTGAGCTTGCTGCAGTCTCAGATCTCATACTTGAAACTATAGTCTGTATTGTGTATCCAAGTGTATTCTACCTGTGTTCACCTAGCTGCTGCTTGGATCAGCACATGAATCATACCTTTGGATTTTGTAAGTAAAACCTTTTAAACTTACTTAACAGTGTGTGGTCTGTTCATTTTCTCATTACTTTCCTGATGGGCATGTGGAAATATGCCTTCAGCAGCTCCTGCCTATCCTTCAACCTCTGGAATTTGAAGGAGAAATGTGGGAGGGGGTGTCTGAATGCTAGGATGTTTACAAAGCACTGTTCGAAAGCACCATGGTTTGCTCTGAAGTCCTAATAATCAGGGCTTTAAAGGGAAGCATCACCTGATATGACTATGAGATCAGGTCATTGACGGTGGGCGGCCCCAGCCACCTGTTAGCTTCAGTCTGTCCGCAGTTGGGGAGATAAAGATTTGGCCCTCTGGCCAGAAAACTTCCTTCACTTTATTTGCATAGGTTGCTAGTGTTCCATTCTTTCCCTTTCCACTACCTAAATCCTCAAAAACCAGTCGTAGTCTCCAGGAGGGGAATGTTTTCTGGCCAGAGGGAAATGTAAGTCATTAGAAAATAATCCTATAAAATATATGGCCTAAATTCTAAGAAAGGAACACAAAAAATAAGTATTTTTTTGATGCCACAGGTTGGACTCCATTGCATGACGCCAGTCTGGCTGGATTTTGGTGGACAACAAATGAGCTTTTAAAAGCAGGAGCTGATGTTAACTGTAAAGGAAGTGAAAAAATAACACCATTACATGATGCAGTTAAAGGTGGTCACTATAAGGTAATGCTTCTGTATTTGAAAATACGTTGCAATTTATCTTCTACAAAAAGCCACAAGGAAAGCCATTGTTTTTCCTTCTTAAAGGTACAGATGCTATTGTTTTGGGGTGCTGCTGCAGTGGAAGCTGCCTACCATGAAAAACCATGTGACAAGGACCAGGAGGCAGAGATTAAAATAGGGAAAACAAAGATTTAGAGGCCTGGTCCATTTGTTTTTATATATGTATTGGTTTGTCTGCAAAAAAATAATAATTAGAGGGTAGCCCATCCCCAAATAATTTCTGGGTATGGAAAGTAGTTATAATGAAGCTTTGTTATCTCCTGTTTTGAGCTCCTGTCTTGCACCATCTAGTGGAAAAAAGAAAGAAAGTACTGGGAGTCTTTAGTTCGCTTCATTATATTTAAGAAATGCCCTTTCCTATCCTATCCTATCCTGTCACAATTGGCATTCCTTCCTTCTTTGCATGTATTTTGCTAATTTTATTATAATTAGCTTTACCTTACTTAGAAGATTGGGGGGTTATTTATTTTAGACATTCAATAAGACCTGTGGAATGTAAACATAGACTAAATTGATCCTGTTTGTTTCTTCTAAAAGAGTTTACATATTCCATTAGTCTTCTGAGGTGGTATTCAACTGAGTTTCATCCAGAATAAACCCACTGAAATTACTTGACCTAACTTAGTCATATTCATTCATTTCAGTGGGTGTCCTCTGAGTAAAACTTGGAATACCACCTCTGATTTGTAGATTTCTTAAACAATCTACCATATTTTACAAAAGTTGTGTGTTTATTTATGACAGTGTTGTAACCACTCCTTTTTTGATTTTTGCTGACAGTGGCAACGATGTTTACATTTGATTTTAGGGATCTAACAAGTCAGAATGCTGCACAAGCTTAGTGGTGTCCAGAGCCATGGAATGTTGAGAATGTCAGTCTTCAGGGACACACCCCCTCCCAAGTACATAGTAGTAATAAAGTGCTCAGGCTCTAAAACCAACTCCTTTCACATTATAAGTGCAGTGCAGGAAGGTTTCATGAAGATGAAACAAAAGCCTGTGTGTTTTTTGCTGAAACTTCCTCCTCTCTTCATCAAGTTTAATAAGCACTCTTGTTCCAGGCTGTCTGAGCCCCAGACAGAACCATTTCCGTTAGGGGCTGAGGATGAGCTGCAACATTTTGTTGCAGGGTTCTACTTGCTCATATTATATCTGTAACTACATGTAAAATTGCAATGAGCAGCAGTGACTTTGACTTTTAGTTGCTGTGGAGCGACACCTGTGGCTGTTCTGTATGATGAGTGAGATACGGAAAGAGTGAAAGCGTTAGGAACAAACGTTGAAGCATCTTTACCTCTAGGTGGCAGAGTTACTACTTTGGTATGGAGCCGATCCGCTGTTCAAAAATGAGAGAGGGAAGAGTGCTTTAGAAGAAGCAACTGACATGCCTATGAGGAAACTACTTGCAAGTTTTATAGCTAAATCTAGAAGAAGGTCAGCATCAGGTAAGAAAGAGCTATATTTAGACTGACACTCATTCACAAAGGAACTACAAGAAATATTTTTACTCCAAATTTGAGATTTGTTCTGTATGCAGATAGGACTTTGTCAACATAGCTTCACCAGAGCACTGGAATATAACAAAATGACATATGTATACAGTATTTGTGTTTTGGATTAATTAAGCAGGAATTACTGCCAAGTGATACAGTCAATTTTACAATATATAGGGCATGCATTCTTGCAAACTTCAGTGGAAGCCAGATGTTTTTCTTAGCATTTTTAATGTTAAAAATCTAGTAATGTTTTCTTTGAATTTTGTTGCTCTATGGCAAGCATCAAGCTGTATCACACAGCTCCTCCAGATATGGGTAGCACTTCTAATTTTTGGTAAATAAAAATCCAAATATCTTCCTTGAATGTATTTTTAGCTGAAAGAGTTCTAGAAGACCCAGTGAGTGACCAAAGTAGAATTGAGAGCCAGCCTAAGGTAAAAGTTAAAATGAATTTTCAATACAAGTGAGTAGTGAAATATAATAGTCAAGTAACAGTCAAGGTATTTTATTGCAGAGGTTTTCTGAAGTGCTCTTCAAGGTCCTAACCATAATAATTAGTTTCTAACTAGTACTGGTAATATCATATGCATTGAACCAGAGACACTGCCAAATTGGAGGGTATTTTCTGTCACTCCACCCCACCCCCTGACCCGGCTGCTCTGCTCTTCTTGGAAGGAGAAGGGGATGCCACTTACCTTAAATGTACGAGGCAGCCAAAGGTTGTTTTAATTCTTTATTATTAGTCTTTGAAAGGAAGGATTCTAACCACTTAAATCAGCGTGAGTGTCTCTACACCCATTGCCCCCACCTACACTTCTTAGAAGAGCTTCAGTTCTGGAGGCAGCATGGCACTGAAGCCGTTCCAGAAGTGTGGCTTAAAGGAAGCAGCCAACCACAGTTTCTGGAGCTGAAACCCTTCTAGGAAGGCCTTTTTTAGAAAACTTAGGCAGAGGGAATGGGCATTGAGAGATCTGCACTGCGGTGAGCTCTGCAAGCCTCTCGTTAAAAGGTTAAAAAATAAAAATACGGGGGGAACCCTTGGCTACCTTGTACAGTGGTACCTCAGGTTAAGAACTTAATTTGTTCTGGAGGTCCGTTCTTAACCTGAAACTGTTCTTAACCTGAAGCACCACTTTAGCTAATAGGGCCTCCCGCTGCTGCTGCGCCGCCGGAGCATGATTTCTGTTCTCATCCTGAAGCAAAGTTCTTAACCCAAGGTACTATTTCTGGGTTAGCGGAGTCTGTAACCTGAAGTGTCTGTAACCTGAAGCGTCTGTAATCTGAGGTACCACTGTATATTTAAAGTGAGCAATAGCCCCACTTTCCTCTCCTCTCCCAAGGAATAAGCCTCCTCAGCTTGCTTGTGGGTCCCCTTAGCTGCATGGGGTCCTCTAATTGCCACAGGGCTACAAAAATGAACCCTTTTGTCTTGATCCAGCGGCACTATGGCATTTATTTAACATAGCGTGGAACTGATTTTTGATTGGTAACTCACAATCTTTTCTCTTCCCTATTGTTATCAAAACCCATTCATGTGAATAAATATTGGGTGGGGACTAGGAAATATATCCTGGCTATTATTTCTGTTTCTGTTCTATTATCACTGTTTTGCTTTTCCAGGCAAAAACATGCTCAGGTGAAAGAGTTCACCATACATCTAAAGAAAATACTAAGGTACTAAAGCAACAGAGGGTAAAGTCAGAACCAAGTAAGAGAAAAAGGACTTCACAAAGAAATTATGCTTCCAAAATGTGCAATAGTTGTTCACTAGTGAACGCTACAACATTTGAAGGTACATGTCTGGTTTCAAAGGCAAAGCAGTCAGTCAGGGGAAGACCACCATCTTTGGGAGCATCAGGGGACAAAAGAAGAATAAATGGCCAGAGGAAGGACATTCAGAATGGTCCTGCAACTGATCTTACATTGGTCTCAAAAAGAGCAGTTGGATCTTCAGAGTATCGCCAGTATAATTCGAACAGAAGTTGTGAAGCTGAAGAAGACTGTAACATGGCAATGGGGTCAGAAATTCAGCAAGAGAGTGACTCTAATAATAGTATTGATGACTGTCCATCAGAAAGAAAAGAGGCTCTTAAAAGCACTGAACTGGCAGGAGCAACAAAAGATCAAGCAACTAATTCCCATACTGTCACATCACTGAATCCTGTTGAAGAAGAATCTGCTTTTGAAACTGAGGTAGTAAATGAATCTAATTTGGATTCTACACACTTCTTATGCAAAGACATCGGTTTGCCTTTGCAGGAGGAAAGCCAGTATGCAATGAAACATAATAAAGGGTCTAATAGTCTTAAAGTTACTTTAGAGGACAACCTTCATACTGCTGAAAAGAAGCTTGTCTGGACAGAAAGAGAAGGCATCGTTATTCTTGCTTCTGAGAAAAATAGATCACTAGACCAATATATGCATTCTGAAAACTCTGTGGATCAGATTAATCTGGACAACCATAGTTTGGGGCATGAACTGGGTGTGAAAGAGCCTTTATCTGTAGCTGAATCTGTCTGTTTAGAAGAAAACCCATCCGAGTCAAAAATCCCAACCATCTCAATGTTGCAAGAAATTGAACCTCTCAGTGATTCAGATTGTACAGTCCTTTCTGAAGAATACAATTTAAATGCAGGCCAAAACCCAGGTGAAAACACCTCTAGAGCTGATGGAATCTGTAATGAACAAGCAGTTCATGTCTGTATGGAACTATCCTCAACAATTTCACAGAGTATTAATAGAGTTGGTGTTTCTGAAAGTCCCGGCACTTGCAGCTTCAGTGAGCAAAGATTTTTAATTCCTCCTGTGCATGAGGGCATTATGATGGGAAGAGCAGAAGGAAATGTTGGGAAATGTTGCTTTGAGAGAACAGGAAATGGTAGTAGGACTGAGAACAACACAGTCCTCCCTTTACAGATGCTGGACAAAGACCCATTCCAAGGTAATCCATTCAGAGAAAATAGAGAGATTGCTGAAAATTCAATGATACAAAAGGAGAGGTGGAGAGAGAAAAATAGACATACGTCTAACTTCCATTGTGGTTATTTTTAGTGCAGCATTAACTTTTTTATTTACTGTTGATTGAAGAAGTTTTATTATATTTTTATCATTTGTTGATAATCTGAACCCTTGAAATTATTAATTGAAGGGCCATGTAAAAAGGATTCAAATTAATCTAATTATTTCATTTATTTATTTTAATAATTCATAAATTACAGTAGTTTCTAAGAAGGAAATTAAAATATATCCCTGATTCAACAGTGAAAAAGAGTATTTAAAGAGTCTTTAAAATGCAGAAATTGCACTGTTGGCTGGTGAGAAGGGATTGTGGGGCAAAAGGTACCCCAGTTACCATCCCCAAATAGTTGATAGGTGCACTTATGGCTTTCAAAGAAAGTGTAAAGTTCCCCTGTGAAACCTAAAGGCAATTAGTCTTGCGAGCATGGTGAGGCTATTTCACAGATCATCTTCATAAGATTTAAGATTCCTTGTAGTAAGATATGGTAGTATTTTTTTTATGATTTTCTGCAATGAGTTAAATTAGTAACCTACTCTACATTAGGGTTACCACTGCATGTGAAAACAGTTGGCTCCAAATGGCTTAATACTGAGCACCTTAGTCAAAATTATGGCATTCTAAATTAGCACAATGAAACGTTTGCCTGGTTCGCACCTCACATTAAATCATTGTTAAAATCAATGGGTTTAACATGAACAAACAGCATGCAGGTGCTTCACATCTGTGCCTCCATGCTTTCTGGAAACAAGCCATGGTCTGATTTGTCACGTCATTTGAACTCAGGCTTGTGGTTTGTTTCCCCAAAACAAAGCATGAACAGTAAGCCAAGAACAAGGTTTAGTTTCTTCTCATAGTTTGGAGAGAAACAAGCCATGAGGTCAGGTTTGGGTAGCATGAAAAGCCAGCGCATGCCTTGTTTCTCAGCAGGAGCAGGGGAGGAGTAAAGCATCCACAATTCCAGCAGTAGGCACCAGTATGTTGCTCAGCCACATTAAACCATAGTTTATTTTAACTACAGCTTAATGTGATGCACGAAACAAGCTATTGCTACACTATCTTTTGTTTCAGAGCAAGCAATAGAAATGTTAATAGATTTCTATAGAAGCATTTTGTAATAATTTTCTGTGGAATCTTAAAAAGTTTGGTGAATATTTCAGGAGCAGCAGGCAGCTCATACTAATCATGTCTGTAATAATATACTTTATGGTATTTTCATTAACATTCTTCATGGAGACGCTGCACTTTTTTATTCAACAGATAAATCACTACAAACTCAGATCCTTGGAAAATGTTACAGTGAGAAGAATGATAAAGAAAATTCAAACAATACTCCAGATGTATCTTTACAGTCAAATGAATTAGAAACTATCCAAAGTAAAAGAATGGAATCTATATCCATTGAGGATTGCCAAAACGAACATTTGTGTTCTAGCAATAGTGCAACTCCTTTACAGTTTAATTTGACTGAGGAGCAGGAAATCCCACATTCATTAGGTAAGACAGGTACGGTTAACCTGTGGCCGTCTCAATGTTGCTGAACTACAACTCCCAACTTCCCATTGGCTGTACTGATTGGGGTTGATGGGAATTGTAGTTCAGCAATATCTAAATAAGAAGAGGTTAACCACCCCTCAGGTAAGCAGTTAATAAAATTTCAGAAGTGAATGTTGTGGTTGAATTGAGTCAGATTTCCCCTGTCACTTTGAGATTGTTCAGACATACCTTGGCCTCCAAAAGGTGCAGCTGGAAGAGGACTAAAAGCAAGGGCAGCATGTCCCATTTCACCGAGGCAAAATGGGAAGGTGTCGCTCCCACCACAGCCTCATTTACCTGGGTCGTGCAGTGGCACCCATGAAGTGGAGATGATGGTGGTGGGTTCTGGCAACTTCTCACAAAATCTTGCAGACTGCATGAGATCTCATGAGATCTTGGTGGAAGCCACCGCCACCACGTCCCTGCCAAGGCAGGGCAGCCATGGGGACACTTTCTCTTGGGCTTCCACCGCCTGAGGTGGCTGCCTCAGCTTGCCTCAGGGGTGGGCCAGCCCTGACTCAAAGCTCATACAGTCCTTCCTTTCTTCCTTGACTAGTTTAAGATTCTAAGTTAATGGAATGCCCCACATATATTTGAAAGTGGAATCTCCTTGACCTTTTACATATAAGCACAGGTATGTTGGGTGGGAGTTTTCTTCATGTTTCCATTTTATCTTGAATGTCCTAAGGATCATTAGTTATAATGGATAAAATAAATCACTCTGCAATACCATTAAGTCTTCTAAAGTTACTTCTCCACATTTGTTGTATAAAGTATTTACATTTGTGCCTTGCTTGGATTCATTCTCTTTTAAGTCGTTGCTCTTCTCCATTTTCTCCCCAATTTTTTTTATCTGTAAGGGACACATGATAAGGCTACAGTGGTACCTCGGGTTAAGTACTTAATTCGTTCCAGAGGTCCGTTCTTAACCTGAAACTGTTCTTAACCTGAAGTACCACTTTAGGTAATGGGGCCTCCCGCTGCCGCCACGCCGCTAGAGCACGATTTCTGTTCTCATCCTGAAGCAAAGTTCTTAACCTGAGGTACTATTTCTGGGTTAGTGGAGTCTGTAACCTGAAGGTACCACTGTATATGAACTCATGGTTATTTTATATTTTTATACACACACACACACACACACACACACACACACACACACATGCATAGATGCTATCTGATAACAGAAGACTGAAGAAGACAGATTAATGTTATGTAAACTTTAGGAGACATAATTGTTTTAGGTTTACACAGCTGATGTTCAAAAGGTTGTTAATGTTGACACTGATGTGTGAATATTTTACACCAGTGTCTTTGAAAGCATGTTTTGGCAAGTGGTATTTCTTTAAAAAGTATTGGCCAGCATCTAGCATTTGGTGTAGCAGTGCCCCTCAAAATACCTTATGTAATTATTAATGAGTGCAAAATATGTCTTTAGACTCTTCACATTCTAGTGAAAAGGAGAAACAAGCTTCTTCTAATCAGCTGCTGTGTACCATAAAACCAAGAATAAACAAAACAAATGCCAAAGGAGAAACTTGTTTGCATTTGGCTGCTAAAAAAGGAGATTTGTCTTTAGTGAAATCTTTAATAGCATCTGGAGCATGTGTAAATCAGAAAGATAATGCAGGTGTGGTATTCTTAATTTATAGTTTAAATGTTTTCTGCTATGTTGTGACCCTAGAATCATCTCTTTCTCCCTCTCTCTCTCTCTTATCAAATTCTCTTCTTCACTGCCAACAACAACATCCAAATAAGGATGCTTCATGGTTATATAGGATTAATATTATGCTCCATGGAGAAATATATATATACTGATTTATACATATGGACACACGCACACTGTATTCGAACAGATGTCTAGTAGATGAATAGGTGTGCAAATATGTAAAGTGGCCTGGATCTAAAGCGCTATTATAGTTGGAAAAAAGAAATTTGGGTGGGACTTTGAATTGCTTTTTGTGAACAACGGATCATAATCTGCCTTCAAAACTCCTTTCAAGTTCAAAGTTCTCTTGGGCACCTGGAAAAAGCTGTACAGTTATTTGGATCCAGGCCAATGTAGTAAAATTATTACATATTATTAGATGTGGCAACATGATAATGGGGCTTTTCTTCAGTGGCTCCCCAATTGTGGGGTGCAAATAGCTTTAGACACCAGGCTCAAACTTCCCACTTCACCCAGGCTTTTGACTAATTAAAAAATTAAACTGTGTGTGAGGGTCATTGTTTAGCTTGTTATTATGCTACATATTTTTGTGTTTTTATACATAAACCACCCTGTGATCCTTGAATGATGAATGGTATCTTGAGAACAACAACAGCAACATTAGGCAAAGGCTCATGCATCTTACAGACTCATATCTAACTCTGGTTTTACTAGGCTGGACAGCAATTCATGAAGCTTCCAATAAGGGCTTTACTGAGATTATCGAAGAGCTGCTCAAAGCTGGTGCTGATGTGAATTCTAAAAGCCTGGATGGTGTTTTTCCAATTCATGATGCTGTTTCAGGCAACCATTTTGAGGTAATGTAGTGCTAACCAGCCTCTCTCTCGTCCACCGTCTGTTTACCAGCTCCAAAGTGTGTTTCAAATCCTAATTAAGAAGGACCTATTTAAATTAATAAAGGGTTTGCCAACATGACAACCATAGGGTTCACATGTGCCTGCAGAGGCCTTCATTAGAGCCCACTGTGCCTCCTCCACCTCACTGAAACTCGCCTTGACAGAAGCATTCTGTTGTAGTCCATAGACAAGGTTGTGGTATGTACTTGATTGTGATGTTTGTGTGTAGTGCCTACATCAGTTTCTCTGGTTTACAAGTACGCCCACAGGCCCCAAAATATTAGCAGCCTCTAATATAGAAAGCACCTTGTTTGAAGGGCTTTTGATGTCTATGGCCTGGGTAGGGATGGGGAAGAAATTAGGTTTGCTTGGTATTTTTGCATTTTAATGAGAGCTAGCTAATTTGCAAACTGATACAGAAACTGAAACATGATTATCATTTTAAATTCATCACTTCTCTGAATTTTGTGACACCGTTGCCCAACCAAACAATGTGTACATAAACGTTTATATTAGTAGAAAGTGTGTTTAAAATGCATGTATTAGTGAAAACTATATAAATTGCATATATTAGTGAACACATCGTATAAATTCTTACCTTAAGGAAACTGCTTGCATAGTATTGGCATATGTATAAGCCAATACTACACTTAAATGTGTTTATCAGGAGAAATATGCACTAACATGATGATTAGTTCTCATGAAGTTTTTTTTTGGGGGGGATATAAATTGCTGCAGAATTTTAGTGTTCAAAAAATGAGAAAATGGGAGAACTGAAATTGTCAGATTTATCCATCCCTAAGCCTGTCTCTGCATTTAGCCTTTGATAGAGTAGGTAGTGACAAAACATAGAGTCCAACTTAGGTTTTGCTTCTGGATTCTTTAATTTTCCCAGCATCTCTTGGAGTTACTCCATTTGTACCAGTTTATTGACTATCACAAATCCTTTCCTCTTCTAATTTCCTCATCATTTTTCAGTTAGCAACATATATGCAACAATGTATATTCTTGTTTTAAACTGTGTTTTTTTTACTATAATGTTATTGTTTTAATTTTTTTTGTAAGCTGTTTTGAGGTTTTATTACCCTGAAGTGGTATATAAATGTTGTAAAATAAAATAAATACAATTTTAAAACGAATCGGAAAAAGGAAGCTGAATGTCTGTTTCTGATCTTAACATTTGGCCAGTCTCTGGACAATTGTAAGAGCAGAAGAACATGAAAAAAATAGTAACTAGACCATAGGAGTGAATAATTAAGAAATGTGTTGCAGGCAGCACAGTGTCTACTACTTCATGGTGCAAACCCAAATGAGATGGACGCCTGTGGGAACAATGCCCTGGATGAAGCCACCTGTAACAAAATGAAAGAACTCCTTCAATCTTATGGTGCTACTGAGACCAAAGAGGCTCATCAGATGACTGATGTGCTTGGTATGTCCCTTCCTTCATATTAACTGCAACTTCCTTTATCCTTTTAAAAAGCATCCAATAGCACGATAAGCTTCCTGAAGTTACCGTACTTGTTTTCCAGCACCCTGGTCCTATTGTAATTAATTCTCCATTTTAGTGTGTCTTAAGTGGATTTGATTTTCAGAAGAAGGTATCAAAGGTTAAATACACACATGTTCATGTGCACAACCAGATTCCCCCCCCCCCGTACTTAATATATGTGTACTCAAGCTGATACTATGTTGATTTGGTACATTCATAACTTATTTTGAAACTATAATCATTATTTCTTGATTTAGGCGAAAAAGAGTTGCACACTTCTAGGTCTAGAAAAATCCGTAGTAGTTGCAGTGGCTGTGAAGAGGATAACATGGTTTCACAGCTCATTTCAGCTAAACAGAGCTGTGACACAGTGAGTATAGATAGTTGAGCAGTTTTGTTTCCATGCGTTAGCATCAAATGTGGCATGTATGAAGTTGCTGAATCGTGAATTATGTTTGTGTTATGTGGAGTTTCTTTTCACCTTTTGGCCAAAAAGGCCCCAAAGGCAGCTCATAAAACTTATAAACACAAAATCCAAACAATACAATAAGATGCAACTTACACAAGATTTAAATAGTAATATTTCAATAACATATTTAAAAGAAAGGAAATAAATAAAGAAATCTCCCACTCCATGAAAGCAACCCCTGCCCATGCCAAAAGAGAGCAGGAATAACCTGACTCCTTCTTTCCCCTTTGGCAGCCATTACCCAGTCAGGGAGATGCAGAACAACTCGCTCCTGACTGTTCCAAGCACAGTCTTTTCCTCTGCATCAGGACTTCCTAGGCAGCAGCTTCTTATAAGAGTTCCAGGCAAAGCTGGTTTAAAAAATGCCTTTCTGCACGCACAAGGTGTATTTCACTTACACAAAGGATATTCTGCACCTCATAATAATAATAATAATAATAATAATAATAATAATAATAATAATAATTTTTATTTATACCCCGTCCTCCCCGGCCAAGGCCGGGCTCAGAGCGGCTTACAAGCAATAATAAAAACAAGTTAAATGATTACAACTTTAAAAAAAAATTAAAAATACAACATTAAAATATTGAAACATTAAAATATTAAAATGTAGCCTCATCGCAGGACGAGAAGGAAAAGAAAAAAGAAAGAGAGGGAGGGAGGGAGGGAATCAAATTGGCTCCAAGCCAAAGGCCAGGTGGAACAACTCTGTCTTACAGGCACTGCGGAAAGAAATCAGATCCTGCAGGGCCCTGGTCTCATGAGGCAGAGCGTTCCACCAGGCTGGAGCCAGAGTTGAAAAGGCCCTGGCTCTGGTTGAAGCCAATCTAACTTCCTTAGGGCCCGGGACCACTAGGGTGTTGCTATTTATGGACATTGAGGCTCTCCATGGGGCATACCGGGAGAGGCGGTCCCGTAGGTACGAGGGTCCTAGGCCGTGAAGGGCTTTAAAGGTCAAAAGCAGCACCTTAAATCTGATCCTGTACTCCACCGGGAGCCAGTGCAGCTTGAAAAGCACTGGGTGAATATGCTCCCATGGCAGAGACCCCGTGAGGAGCCTCGCTGCAGCATTCTGTACCCACTGGAGTTTCTGGGACAGCTTCAAGGGCAGCCCCGCGTAGAGCGAATTGCAGTAGTCAAGCCTGGAGATGACCGTCGCATGGATCACTGTGGCCAGGTCGGGGCAGGAAAGGTAAGTTCATGTTACTGTGTTGCACAAGAAAAGTGGAACTTATTCCAAAACTACTCTTCCACTTGTAGTTGTGTTGTTTTTGCCAGCATAAGTATTATAGAATCTATGTATCGTTGCATGTCATGAACTCTTCCCCTGGTGCTTGCACTTCTGCTTTTTGCTGATGGCTCTTTGGATCAGACCACATGTTTTACAGACAGTAGCAGCACAAACCTTCATAACAGTAAATCACTGTACACCTTTCTCTCTTTGTAAGTTGTGTGCACCTATCCATCCAGCACAGCTGGCTCAGGTAAAATACCTGGCCGCTTTCCAAGTTCTCATGTTTTAGTTCAGTTCCAAACTGCCTGTCTTTAATAAAGCGAACAATGATTTGCATTTGACAGCACGAGTCCATCAACGAAGTATTGCAGAATATAGAAGAGAAACAAGATAGACTTTTGCTCTTTGAATTAAAAAGCCAAAGAGATGCAGGTGTGGATAAATTGTATAACTCATGAAAGATTGGCTAAATGTGTGTTTCATTCTTATGTTGGAGTAACAATTTTTTTGTAACTCCAAAGTTGCGTCTTGGATTCATGTTCATAGATGCTGGAAAGACTCCCATTGTAAAAACTGGTGAACCTACTACATTGAACAGGAGCAAACGTCTGAAGCTTGGGACTCGAACTGGAGCAATTGGGAGCTGCCTCAATATGATCCATCCCAATCCTGTGTTGCCCTGAATTGTCCCAATTCAGTTCAGGATTCAGTGTATAACTCTAATGGAGATACAGGAAGCAAAGGGCATGGTCCCTAAAGACAGCTTTCCTTAAGAAGAGGTGCCACCATTGGGTGCTGCCTCACTGGCACAGGGTGGCAGTTCCTGCCTCACTGAGGTCCATCTATCTTCCTCATTTTAATATTTAGGAGGTATTTAAAAATATTCCTGTTCACTCAGATGTTTAATGACTGGAAGCTACTGAAGGATGCTGTTCCTGCCAGCCTTGAAATGCTTAATTGTGAAGGTACAGTCGTACCTTGGAAGTTGAACGGAATCCATTCTGGAAGTCTGTTTGACTTTTAAAACATTCAGAAACCAAAGTGGGGCTTCTGATTGGCTGCAGGAAGCTCCTGCAGCCAATCAGAAACCGTGGAAGCCCCATCGGACGTTCGGGTTCCAAAGAACATTCACAAAACGTCCGAGTACCAAGGCATTTGGGATCCAAGGTACGACTGTATTGGATTGTTAAAAAAAAAAAATTAATTGTTTGATTTTGCTAGTTTATTAGTTACTGTCCTCAGCTCCTTTGGGTGTAAGGACAGAATAGAAATAAATTAATATTCTCTGTGATATTGGCATGGATTTTGTATTGCATACAAAATTGTATAGCGTTGTAAAGCAATTTGTAGAATGAAATTTGCTTTAAAAAGCTCAAGAGTAGACAATACTAGCTGATTTCTCTGTCACATCGTTTTAACTGCCACATTTTTATTGCCTCTGTTACAAATTATCAAAAGGAGGCATGTCAGTTTAGTTTATTAACTTATTAAATCTGTAAATGTTGAACAGATCTATATATCCAAGATCTATCTCAGATACAGAACATTTTGAATGCTGTACTTGCCAAACAGAAATCAGAAAGGGATGATCTTGCTAAGAAATACAGGTAGGCAGAAGAAAAACTGTAGGTTTTTCCTTTCTTTTCTTTTTTACAAAATAGAGCATGGAATTATTATTTTTTACTTTGAAATCAAGCAAAATTATAGTATGCTACCAACATTCTCAGACCCTTCATTAGTTTTAAACCTTGTATACTTCCCATTAAGTTAAATCAATCCTGGTTCTACAAAAAGTAGTACAGATCTTGTGCTGCTTTGGCATCTGTTTTTAGCTGTTGTGAGAATTATGCTTTTATTTATTTGTATTGTTTTAAATAAAAATCAATATGACTAAAATATTTCAAAATAGGATTCTGCCTTTTAAAAAACGTTTGCTACCTTCATTTAGGGTGGTTTAAAAAAGCTTTTGTTATTCATTATTTTTGTGATTCATTATTAGGGAAGCTTGAGAAATTTGTTCTTTGCAGATTTTGATACAAACTGACCTGATCCACCTCCTGGATTAATACATGAATCTGAACTCTGTTACTCTTTTTAATTTTGCACATCTCTGAATATTGTGGTGCAATTTAAAAACAAAAAGGAGAAGCATGCAAAATGTGTATACAGTGGTGCCCCGCAAGATGAATGCCTCGCAAGACGAAAAACCCGCTAGACGAAAGGGTTTTCCGTTTTTGAGTTGCTTCGCAAGACAAATTTCCCTATGGGCTTGCTTTGCAAGACGAAAACGTCTTGCGAGTCTTGCGATTTTTTTCGCTCCCCCCCCTTTTCTAAGCCGCTAATAGCCTTTTAGCCACTAAGCTTTTAATAGCCGCTAATAGCGCTAATCCGCTAAGGCGCTAATAGGGTTGCTTTGCAAGACGAAAAAACCGCTAGACGAAGAGACTTGCGGAACGGATTATTTTCGTCTTGCGAGGCACCACTGTACTTTAGAACAGAATACATTTTGCCATATATATTTGTGAGAAAGTATGTTTTGGAATACACATTTTAATGCAGATTCTTTTTTTAAAAAAAAATCTGCATTTAAAAAAAATCTACATATTAATGCAGAAAGAGATGTGATGGACTTACGAATGAACACATATGAGACTAACCTGGAATGGAAATAGATGGATCTGATCATTATGCTTAGAGGCAAGCCATATTCTTGAATGGAATGGGTGGTTCATTTTAAACAATATGTATTTTTCATGGAAGTTCAATTGACTGTTCAATTGTTTTTAAATTTGATTTCAGAGCTTCTGCAGAATCTTTTAAACAGGGAGCCCTAAGGGAACAGATAGCAAAGCTTGTTTCCAGACAAAAGAGTCTTTTGCTCATGGCACAGAAGCAGAAAGAACTAGGCCAGAAAATACAAAATTATAAGAGTGCAAAAAAGGAGGCTTCACATTCAGCAAAATGTGCCCCAAGCACACATGGCTCTTGTGAACGCAATAACACAGAAGATGATCCATCTGGGAGAAGAGCACCCTCCTCTGATATAGCTATAGGCCTTGAAAACAGTTGGGTCGCAGACAATATTTATTTAGATCAAGAATCCAGCCAGTATCCAAACAGGTCTCTGAATATGTCAGGAGGGAATGGAAAAGAGAAAAAGCAAAAAGGAGTTGGTCCCAAAAAAACAGCGCCTGAAAACAAACCCAATGAATATAACACTGAGGAGTTAACAAAGGTAACACATTTGAAGTATGTTAGATCATACTATAAACCATACTATAGATCAGCCAACATTGCCTTCAGTATATGTAGTTTGCCTTATTCAACAGACACACATAGAATATACTGATCATACATCAGTGGCGCTACAGAGGGGACGCGGGTGGCGCTGTGGGCTAAAGCCTCATCGCCTAGGACTTGCCGATCGAAAGGTCGGTGGTTCGAATCCCCACGGCGGGGTGCGCTCCCGTCGTTCGGTCCCAGCACCTGCCAACCTAGCAGTTCGAAAGCACCCCCGGGTGCAAGTAGATAAATAGGGACCGCTTACTAGCGGGAAGGTAAACGGCATTCCGTGTGCTGCGCTGGCTCGCCAGATGCAGCTTGTCACGCTGGCCACGTGACCCAGAAGTGTCTGCGGACAGCGCTGGCTCCCGGCCTGTAGAGTGAGATGAGCGCACAACCCTAGAGTCTGGCAAGACTGGCCCGTACGGGCAGGGGTACCTTTACCTTTACCTTTATAGATCAGCCAACATTGCCTTCAGAACATGTAGTTTGCCTTATTCAACAGACACACATAGAATATACTGATCATACATCAGTGGCGCTACAGAGAAGCAAATTCCCAAGAATGTGTACACTAAATAGTTCATCTGCTAAAAGTACTGTTGTCAATAATAATAATATTATTATTCAGCAAACCACTGAAAGTCAACATGTTTTCTCTAATGTGTCTTCACAGCAATACTCAAATGTAAATGAGGATTTGCAGATGCAACCAGAATTAGAATCTACACACAGCTATCTCGCTACTCATCAGAAAAACATCCCAAAAAATAGACACTCGCTTAATGCTAATTTAGAGCCTGCAGGGATATTTTCTCATTCGCTATCACAAAGCAGAATCAGCCCAAGTTCTTCTCAATGTTCTAACAGTCAGAATTCTGAAAAACAATTAAACTCCAAAGCAAGCAGATGGAAGAAAAATCAGCTATTGGATCTGCTCAAACTGGGAAAGATTAAGTCTGGAGATGATGTTCTAGAATTCACAGTACAGGTAGATTGTTCAGTTGCAAAGCAATGTAAATATCAATGCTAAATGTATTAAAAAACCGCAGAGTAATCTTAGCAAAAGCTAATTGATCATTAGAAGCAACAAATAATCCTGTGGCACGTTAAAGCTAACAAATTTATTATGGCATAAGCTTTCATATAGGAAGTGTTACCTGACATTGCAGGTATACAAATATGGTTGGGGGGTGAATTGTGAGGTCAGGAGGAAATTATGCCTAAATAACGTTGTAATGATTTTGCCTGCTCCATTACTGCATTGTTCAGGCAACATATATGTTATAATACAATCAGGACCTGGTTTAAATTCTAGAATTAAAAATAAATATTCAGAGTTTATTTTCTGGCTTCTCTTCCCCTCCACCCTGATTCAGCTGGGTGCTAAGAGTGCTCTTTTGCCCTGTATTATCAAAAATAAGCAGGAACACAAGTAAAGGCTGGCCTATGCCATTTGATTGTGCTGTGTTCTAGTTTAGTGTCAGAAGAGGGTGTGGGGACACAGATGCAACTACGTCCCAACATGCATTGCTTGCAAAGAAATGCAGTGCTGTAGTGCCTGTATTTTCTCTATCCTCTGGCCTTCCCTTGCAGCACTATCATGGCAGCAGATGTACAGCAAACTGCAGTTTTTCCAGTCAGCTGCTTAGCTGGGGACAATTTCTGCTTATTACAGGAAGCAAGTGGATGAGGGGGAAATTGTGAGGCTGGTATGATAGAATTAGCAGGCAGCTACTACTGACAAAATAGTTGGAGCACATCATGGTGATCTTCAGCCCAGACAATTACATAGTCTAAGAGGTGCTAGTGGTTCAAAGTGTAGGGGATTATAATTCTTAATTGTTTTGTGTTCCTTGTTTTTGATTTAGGATTCCAAACATAAAGCCAGCCTTTTGGGAAATGGTAAAGTCAAAGCTGGCAACAACACAGTTTACCAAAATCTAGTTCAATGGATTAAAGCACTATTAGGAAGTGACATTTCTGTAAGCTGGAAATACGTATACAACAAGGTAGGCTCATTGGTTTTTTTTTAATAGGTGACAGAAAATTTAATGTTAGTGTGAAGTTTGTTGCATGAAAGTGAGCAGTGTAGTGGTAGTTTGTCTGAGCACAGGCAGGCAGGCAATGTCAGGAGCGAGTCAGCAATAAATCACATGGTGTAAATGAAGTTAACTCTTTATTAGAAGAAGCAGGATCTGCTCAGGTGGGCCAGGCCTAATGAGCACAGCAACTGGTTGTTTATTATTATTATCATCATTATCATATTCTGTACAATTCATTCATCATTATTTTTAAGGAAAACTGTCATCAACCAAAAAGTGTATTTTTAAAAAATAAGCAAGAAAAAGAAGGGGGGAAAGCCACAAAGCATTATAGTCCTGTGTAGTCTTCTGCGTTTGACTTTGGCTTTTTGTTTTTCCATACTCAACTTGCAGGAAATGTATAAAGTAGATATATTACTTTGACACGGGCTCAATATTTCTTGATGCATTTTTTTAAAATGAAGTAAATAACATCTTCAGTGACGTATATTTGCCTTTATACAGGTCACATACTGTGGAACTCTGTTATCAAAAATTATTGCTGAAGTTCATGTTTCTAAGGAACCAGAGTTAACAGTGCAACAAAATAAGCTATTTGGTATGTGCTGACTAAAATGTGAATTCCATTTAGATGAAAATGCCCCCCAAAAGGACAGGGTTTATAAATCCTCAGACTTCTACTGCACACTTTTTCTATCTTTAATCACAAATTATGGACATAATAGCATTTTTTAGTAGAGCCATGCATGTGCCTCAGAAATGCTAACAAGACAAGTTTTCTCTGTTGGAAATGTTATGGTTTGCTGTGATTCTCTCCTGAGCGAAGCTAGTGAGTTAACCTACATGGGTTGGAGAACCCATAAGTGCTAAGAGTTAATGGCTTAATTAAACTTGTCTTTGCTGGAAATTTTGTGAATTTAATCCAGTGTTTGTGTGGCTGAGGGAAACAGCATTCTGCAGAAGTACTGTCCTCTAGTTGTTTTTGGGAATAAGAAATATTGGCTTCAGTCAAAACTGTTCATGTACACACAAGGAAGACACTATTGCAGATTAAAATATCTATTACCAACTTGTGCTTAGAGGTATCAATATTGGGTAAGGGAATATTCTGATACAAATTAGTAACTATTTATGAACTCCAAGTTATAACTTCTATTTTTAAACAATAATATGAAAGAAATCTTTTAAAATGATGTCCAGGTGATATATGATCCCAGTATTGATTAGCAAAATGAATAAATGGTGCTGCTCTATTTTCTAGAAATGTCAAAAATAGTGAGGGGATTTCTGCCATATGGAGTGAACCTCACACCCAGCAATTTCTGGGAGGAAAGATGGTATTATTGGACAGATATATTTCTCTTGGCTTGCATATTCCCCATGACTTCTTGACATACACAAGAACAAAGCCACCCCTTGCCTAATGCACCAATTAGGAACAAATTGTCAGGCCTGACCCTAGGTTTTTTAATAGGCCGAACACAAGTCCAATATAAGCAGGTGTTGAGCCTGTGGTAGATGTGAAGGGCTGGGTGCTTGATAACAGATGAGACAAACAAGAACCAAGGAAGAAAAGGTTTATAGGGTCTGGTATGTTTCCATTAGCTTTTGAGGTCAGCTGACCAGGCTGTATGATCAACTGATAGCATCCAGACTAGCACTGTCACCGAAGACACCCTTGACTCACAGAACCTGGCCCTTCCCTGAGGAACTAGAACGCTGGTGGCATAGGAACGATTGAATGTATTGGAGGCTCTGGTTCAAGACTTCCCTTGACTGGCATGTTACACAGATAATTTTGATCTTTTTCAACCAGGGAGAAACTCTACAAGATGCAAACACAGCCGAGGTGCTGAGTACTGCTGTTTTAGTCATAAGGCTGCTTCCTCTCAGAATGCAGAGAATATAAGGCAGGAAACTGCACCCTTTCCTCAGGAAGAAATGGAAATCTCTCTGTCCTCTGAAACAGAAGCTGAGGAAATAATGACAGCAGTCAGTGAAACAAGTAAGTGAAATAAGACTACATGCAATCCTGTTTTGTCACAAGTTTGTCGCAAGTAGAATTTTGGTGGTAGGACTATTGCAAACTCTTGGTCTTGGCACAAAAAATAAGATTAGTTTGCTGTTGAATTGTACCCTTTTTCTTTCTGCAAAGCGTGCATTTTCTGTTTACTGCTTCAGAGCCTGTGCTATTAGACAATGGTTGTCTTTAAATATTCTATGGTTTTTCCTAATTCAGTGTAGTCTAACTGTGAAAGACACTTTACAAAGCCCTGCCTTCTTCATTTATCTGATTTGCTGTATAATATAACAAATATATGTAGGATGTTGTATATCTTATGAATCCACATACATATTGGATTGGGAATGAACAGCAAAGCCAAAATAGAACATTTAATTATCTAAACATATGGTTGCAACCTGCATCCTCTTAGAGATACTGAACATATACTACACATCTGCAGTGAATCTTCCAAAATAAAGCTTATTGCTCTTTAAATAACCCATACTAAGGATATGCATTTATTGATGGAGTGTTAAATGCTTTTGATACTGAAAGACTTAATCAGGATTAGTTCTTAAAATGGGGAGAGCATCTGGATAGTGACATACAATATCTGTTTTAACTGAGAATCTTCTTCAGGGCATTATTGTATTTTAAAACATCTGTCTGAGCAGAGTTTTAGGCCTCCTCATGAGCAGCTTCCCTAAGGGTAACCTACCACGTTGCTTTTTGTAGCTAGAGGTGCTCACACACATGTAAACTGAAGTGTGCAAACATAATATGAGAAGGGCAACTGTATGTTTCAGTTTTCCCAGAGAAGATGCTGTTTTGTAAGAACTGTGGAAACAGATCCAGACAGTCCTATTTCTTTACTTAGAAGAGAGAGGTCTTAGAAAACTTGTAACCATTGTGGTGGATGAATGTGTGTTTATTGTTTATTTTTTTAAGTGTTGCATGCCACCCAAATCCCTGAGTGGTGGGAGATTCCAGGGGTTTCAGGCACTTATCCGGGGTTTGTATTTCTGTTTGGAAATGAGGCACAATGGAGACAGCAGTCTTCATGATATATGACACCAAACTGGGAGGGGTGACTAACACCCCAGAGGACAGGATCACACTTCAAAACGACCTTGACAGATTAGAGAACTGGGCCAAAACAAACAAGATGAATTTTAACAGGGAGAAATGTAAAGTATTGCACTTGGGCAAAAAAAATGAGAGGCACAAATACAAGATGGGGGACACCTGGCTTGAGAGCAGTACATGTGAAAAGGATCTAGGAGTCTTGGTTGACCACAAACTTGACATGAGCCAACAATGTGACGCGGCAGCTAAAAAAGCCAATGCAATTCTGGGCCTCATCAATAGGAGTATAGCATCAAGATCAAGGGAAGTAATAGTGCCACTATATTCTGCTCTGGTCAGACCTCACCTGGAGTACTGTGTCCAGTTCTGGGCACCACAGTTCAAGAAGGACACTGACAAACTCGAACGTGTCCAGAGGAGGGCAACCAAAATGGTCAAAGGCCTGGAAACGATGCCTTATGAGGAACGGCTAAGGGAGCTGGGCATGTTTAGCCTGGAGAAGAGGAGGTTACGGGGTGATATGATAGCCATGTACAAATATATAAAAGGATGTCACATAGAGGAGGGAGAAAGGCTGTTTTCTGCTGCTCCAGAGAAGCGGACACGGAGCAATGGATCCAAACTACAAGAAAGAAGATTCCACCTAAACATTAGGAAGAACTTCCTGACAGTAAGAGCTGTTCGACAGTGGAATTTGCTGCCAAGGAGGGTGGTGGAGTCTCCTTCTTTGGAGGTCTTTAAGCAGAGGCTTGACAACCATATGTCAGGAGTGCTCTGATGGTGTTTCCTGCTTGGCAGGGGGTTGGACTCGATGGCCCTTGTGGTCTCTTCCAACTCTATGATTCTATGATTCTATGATTCTATGGTTTATTTACACATACTGTATATACAACCTGAGCGTGCGATGGAGGGGTTCACAGCATCAACACCCCAAAAGAGTCTAATTTCTCCCATAGCTGCAGCCTTGGATTCAAACATAACTCAAACATTGTTCTCAAGCGTTGCCCTGATTTTCTCTCCAGCTTGCTGCTTTACTTCTAAATTACATCACTGCAAACTCTCAGCTCTCACCTTTGTTTTTTTCTAACTACTAGGCAATCACCTCAACAGGAAACTAAACGGACTTATATTTTAACATTTGCTGGATCCAGGGATTAGAAGGGTCTCTGCACAGCCTACTTCCCCCCACCCTAAACTCATAAGAAAAACCTCTTTAAAATTTGCTATATGACTCGACTTCAGTTGTGTTGGTACTTCAGTGTAGATTTGTATTCCTGTTCACTAGGTGACTGCTTATATTATTTGTTATTTATTTATTTGTTTTTTAAAATGTATATACCACCGTTCATCAAAAGACCACAGGGAGATTTCCAACATAGAACATACAATAATAAAACATAACATAATATCCATACAAGAATAATAGTTGCTGCTTTTTTCTGGGGGTACTCAAGGGTACACAGTACTCCCCCCCTCCAGAAGAAAGGCACTGGTTAAAAGTGCAGCACTCACTGTAACAACTTCATGGTGAGTACCAGCACCCTTTTTTCTAGAGGAAAAGCACTGATAACAATATAGAGTAATAAATAATACATAATAGTACGCAGTTCTTTTTTGGTTAAAAAAATGAGGTGCCAGTACTTAAACTGATAAAAGTGTCATGGGTGCCCACACAAAATGGCTGCCAAAATGGCTGCAAAAAAAGAGGTGCCAGAACTCCATGCCACTGAGTACTGCCACAGAAAGCAGAGGTGAAACTAGGTTTTGTTTCACCTAGATCAAAGACCCAGTTTGGCACACCCACCCACACACATGTGCACACATGCAGGCTGGGAGCCTCCAATTACTTCACATTTTCAGGACTGAATCCTGGATTGCAGATATGTTCTGATGTGCCACAACTCAAATGAAACAAATCGTTTTTTTGGTATCTTGGTTTGAATACTTTGTCCTTTTAATTTAGAGGAAAAGGTGTTTTGGAGAATGAATAGTTAAATTAATTTTGGGGGGCAGGAAAACAAAATGCAAATGTAAAAAAAAGTTTTCCTTACAGTTTAAAATATTTTGTGCATTTGGTTTTTTGTCGATGGATGTGCAGGTGTAAACAATACATGAATTCAACAATTATGTCATGGTATGGCTTTATTGCTAAATAAAGAGGTATGGAGTCAATCTGATCTGTAAATCATACTTGGATTCTCTTACGTGGAAGCTCTTTCACTGTCCTTAAATGTGCAGAAAATAATTGATTTTTTTAAGAGAGGAGGAGGAAAATATCACTCTGCACATGTGCCATGACACACTTTCCTAAATAAGTGCTGTACAAGTCCTATTGTCATGAAAACGGCAAAGTAAAAAATTGCAGTCCCCCCCCATCAAAATGTTGCGAGCTAGCACTGGTTGTCTTAAATATCTCACCACTTAAGAAATTGGGGGTTTAAAGCATTCCTTATACTTCATGCTAGATATTTTAATTTAGTGCATTTCATCTTTCTAACAGAGGTTCCCTACCACCTTGATTCCTCAACACCATCCAGGAGATTTCTACAGTTCAACAGCAGAGTTCTAATAAAGGATGAAGAATTTATGCCAGGCCATATAATGGATCAGTACTGGAACTTCTATGTCCATTGTGAGGGTTTTGGATTTTAAACGAAAAAATAGATAAACGTTTTCCTTCTCTATCTAGTAAAATTTAATGAGCTTGGGGAAGAGGATTGCATTGTGTTTTTTGAATTTTATTATTGCACCAAATCTTTGTTAGCATCACTTTTAAAATACAAAGGGAACCTTGTTGTGTCCCAACAGATGTAAACTGTTTGAGAGCTTTTAGTAGGAGACCAGGTGGGGGGGAAAGGTTATGGGTATAGATAAGGTTGCGAACGGCTGTGTGGTTACAGTTGCTATGCACTTTGACCTTGATATGCCTCATTATGGAAAGGAAAAGTCTGATGTGGATGAGATGGCTGAAATAAAAAAAATGGTCAGGATGGCACCTGTTGTTATTACTGAAGCACAGACTGACAGAAAATTAGAAGCATTTCAGGTGAAACAGATGTTGAGTTGTGGCCTGAGCTCCAGCCTCTGGGTCACCAATGAAAGTTTAGTCTGGTTATCTTTAGACAAGGTTGAATCAAATTGTCAGCGTCTGCCAATTTTGATATGTCAGCCCTAATTAAAGAACAGGGAACAAATGATTATCTCTAAAGATTCCTACACTGTTGTTGTTTTTCAATGGAAGACTCTTTCAGACTCAGAATCTAATTCTAAGAAAGCAAACCTTACAATACTGAACTGAAAATTGTGCTCATCTCTGTTTATACACACCCACACAGCCAATAAAGGATAATTGGTTTCAATTACTTTTGTGGCTAATGTTTGTTGTTAGTGAAAGTTTTTGTAATGCAACCTGAAATCTCATTTTACCTCAAGCTTCCATTTGTAGCAGGATGAAGCTGTCTTATTTACATTTCCTATCATGGGGCCATTTTTCACATTGAGCTGGTCCCAGTGTAAAGCTATTCATGGTATTGTGCGGTCTCTCTCCCCTTCCATCTCTTACAGAAAGTTGCTAGGATTAGCTGTGATTAGTGTTGGTGACACGTAACATAGCCATGGTTAAGGCCTGTTGGAAAATTAGTATGAGAGCAGGGGAGGCTTTAGAGAAGAAAGTGTTTCACAACCTCCTCCCAATATCCTAGTCACCCTAAAGTGATTGCAGTCTTTGCACTGGCCCAGTGAGATATAAAAAAACCCACGCTTATTGGATTACATAAAATATCAGTATTTTATGAAATGCAGTATTTTGAAATACACAGAGGTGAAGGCTTAATTATCAGTGTCATTCAGAAATATCCACGGGCATTCAAATACAAGGCGAAAATACTTTTTAATCATTTTGATTATAATCTCTTTGAGCTTTTAAACCCGGGAGCTACTTTATACTGTGCAGTATCTTCTGGGGGAGGGATGGTGTTTGTCTTACATGTGAATTATTTCCTACTTCTTTGCTAGGGTATCTGTAGCGGATACAGCTGCCATAGCCAGAGTTGAAAATGTTTTGGGGCTCTTTCATGTCAGATTAAACAACATTTTAAAGATGCAAGATGAGATTCCTTGTTAACTCATTTTGCTGAATTGCTATCAGCCACATATGGAAGAGTTTCTCTACTGATTATCTGATTGGCATATAAGCTGGTGTACGGAAGTGACTGTTGACTGGCTTAGGCAAAAAAGATATTGGAGATAATAGAGAACAAAGTCTGTGGTAAGGAAAGTTAACAAAGTCAACACTTTGTTAGAAAGAGCGTCTAAGGTTTCAGATGTCCAAAACTGTCATGTAACAAAAAAGTAAACTAGTTTGATGAGTAAGGTACTTAAAACAATGCTATTTTAGTTGAATCTTATTTTTTTGGCCATTCAGCTCCTGTTGCGCTTTAATTACACTGTACTCTTTTGTTATAACGAACATATTGCATTACTGGTTGAAAGAGAGCAGTGATTCATATTTATCTTTTGTTGCAGGAGAATATTGTACTGCCTATGAAATGTACAAAAGATTTATCCGAATATTAGATTTACTTCACTGTTCACTCAATTTGTTGTTTATGTTGTTTTCTTTGATGTAAGGCACCTAATAAATTAGGAACATGCCAACTGCAAGGCCTTGTTGCTGCATTTTGGATTAGCTTTGTTCCTACAGGAGAACATAAAATCAAGATTTGACATGATGAGTATGAAGTAAAAGCTTTGGCTCTAAGCTGGCTTTTCGGTACTAAAAAAGACAGACACCATTTGTTAAATATTGTTTCTTCTGTATTTGATTTACTAAAGTTTAAAATGTAATTACATTACCTTCTCTTTTCTTTTTGAAAGGAAAAGGGGAAACTTTATTGTATAAATTTAGTAGATCGGTACAAGATTTTATGGTATGAGTGGCTGCTGTTCTGGTGGGGGATAAAATTCAGATTCAGAATATAGGAGACATGTGACTGTCTTAGTATGTAGAGTAGCAGTATCTTAGCACCATGGTCTAGGATTTGTTGTTAAAACTGACAGTGTTGATTAGTGAGACTGTTTTTCAACAGTGTCACTGTAACCACAAAATCCACTAAGTTCTAGATTTCCTTTATTGGGGGGGAAATCTAATTGACTTAATGTCTTTGTGATTTCTATTTTTATTGTGTAAGCTGCTTTGAGACACCCTAGTGCAAAAATGCAATAAATAATAAATACTGAAAAAGCATTTTTGTAATCAGTTTATTATCGCTGGTCATTCAGAACACATTGTTCTCTCTTTCTTGATCACCTAGTACTCTGTTACCTGTAACCGATACACTGGAAACAAAACTAGGCCAGTATCTAATACTTCCTTAAAACCAAAGTGCCTGTTTGGGCATACTATTCTACTGTAATACATTGACTATTAAAAATTATTCATGAAATATCTGAACATATAAAGTGCCCATTGGGTGGGCAAGCTTTTTCTGTTGAGGGCCACATTTTTCAGGGGAAATCTGTTGGGGGCCACAGTAGGAAGGGCCAAAACCAAAAGTGAACAGGGCCACCTCTTCTCTCTTTTTCTGCCATCTACTTTTTCTCTCTGACATCCCCCTTTCTCCATGTCCAGTCAGGCTCTCCAGGCCAGGGACAGATCACCTTTGCAAAGATTTGAACTGATTGCTTACAGATGACTTTTTAAATTATGCCAAGATCTAAATAATGCTTGTCGCTGGTCTATCCAGTCCTGTACTTGTCTATCCTTTAACTAGCTCTCTAAGGGTGGTGCTCACATTACTGTCTTGGAGCACAGTGAGATTGTTTTTTCTTTCTTTTCTGGTGCATTTCACATCTCTCTGCCTCCAGCTGTTCATACCAGCATGGCTTCATTGGTGACAATTTCATTTCTGTTTGTGTACACACCAGGGGGTGTTTATGGGCAGGGATGTCTTTACCTCATGCAAAGGTGTTCGTTCACACCTTGGCTGGAGGCAAATTAGAAGCTGCTTAAGAACTGCAGCCATGGTGAAGCTAGTTTGAGAAACAACTCATCAAACAGTATTATTTTATTGAAAAATACAGGATATATACGGTAAGCATTTTTTACAATGTCATGTGAACACATTCAAAACCCAGCACTGGAAATGCAAAAGTGCACAGTGTGAACACAGCTTAGATCTCAGAGAAGAGATGAAGAGAAGAGGTGAGCCAGCCATACTACTTAAATCCCTTGTTTGCTAGAGACACCAGGGCCTGATTTTCTCCTGGACATGATATTGGTGGAAGTGGGGAGTCTGACTTCAATTATACAAATGCAGCCTGAATTTAAGACCTGATCTTACGTAACAGTATTTCTGCATCAAAAAAAAATCTCATGTTGAAGCCTGTGAGAAGCTCTCTTTTATGAGCTCCAGTGTGCTGATGCTCAGTCTCTGTGCATGCAATGCACTGCACCTTCAAGCTTCTACCCATTTACTGAAGGGGGGGAAATACAGAAAGGGCGAGATTCAATGACATTACACTGCATGTGCATCCTGCCTCCTAGCAAAGTGGCATTTATAGGATTATCTAATTTTAGCCTCACAGCAACCGTGAAGACATATACACATTTAACTGTGGGAGTAAGCGCCATTGAGTGCAGTGGGAACAGGAAGCTGCCTTATACTGAGTCAGACATATTAAACTAGCTCAATATTGCCCACACTGACTGGCGGCAGCTCACCCCAGCCAGATGGGCAGGGAATAAATAATAAATTATTATGATTATTATTCTCCCAGCCTTACCTGGAGATGCCAGGGATTGGACCTGGGGCCTTTGGCATACAAAGCAGATGCTTTGCCACTGAGCTATGGAGTTTCAAAGTGATGCTGATGCTGCCAACTTCTGAGTTGACAGACAACATCCTGCCATCACAGGGGTCAGCAAACTTTCAGCAGGGGGCTGGTCCACTGTCCCTCAGACCTTGTGGGGGGGCCCCAAATTATATTTTGAAAAAAAATAATGAATGGATTCCTATGCCCCACAAACAACCCAGAGATGCATTTTAAATAAAAGCACACATTCTACTCATGTAAAAACACCAGGCAGGCCCCACAAATAACCCAGAGATGCATTTTAAATAAAAGGACACATTCTACTCATGTAAAAGCACGCTGATTCCCAGACCGTCTGCGGGCCGGATTTAGAAGGCGATTGGGCCGGATCTGGCCCCCAGGCCTTAGTTTGCCTACCCATGACATATGCTGTTACATCCACTACATCTTGGGTAAGGGAAAAAGCGCTTCTGCTCATGAGAGGCTTAAATGCCCAACAGAGATGATGGGTAACCATTCAAGGATTTATTTTATTTTTCACGTGTTTCACTGCTCTCCCAGCTGCATAAAAAGACAATTAAATTGTTTTTTTTAATGAATATTATAATGTGGACATATCCCTATCAGACATAGTAAACCACATTTTATCACTCCCCTTCAGCAATTAAAAACCTCAGCACAAGCCCAATCAAAACAAATTATCGGTTGCTGCCAGTCTAGACAATATGCGTGATTGAGGCTGCATGCCATCAAAAGCTTTCCGAAATAATAAAAAAGGAACATTGTACTTGCTACCAAGCGCTTACAAAGTATCAGCTCTGGGGGCGGAAGGTCTCCCAGGAAGGAAAGACGGAGCGATAACACGCCTCCTTCTCATTTGTATGGGTATGTGGACAAATCCCAAGTTCCACTTTTCGTGACGAACAACATTTGCCTATGAAGTACTGTACGACGTCCTGTGGGAGGAACAGATTAAAAAGTCCAGCTTTGCATACACACACACAGAGGGCAATGGAATACTGGAAACTTTCCAAATTTGCAACTAGTGGAATTGGAAACAAGCAAGCTGATTAAAACACTCAAATAATTACTGCGCGCTCCCCCCGCCCCCGGCCACAGAGCAAAAGTTGGAGGAGCGAAAGGGGATTAACTGACTGAGGCGACACAGCCAGCCCTCGGGATCTGCCAGCGCCTGGGTTGGATTTCCTCGCCCTCCTTGCTACTCCGCAGCCGCCGCGCGCGGCCCCTTGGAGTCTCCCAAAGTCGCCTCACCGAAACCTCGGCAGCCTTCGCGCTCTGCTTTCCCAATGGGTCCGGAGCAGTCCCGAAAGAGCGCCGGATGGCAGCGCAGGATGGATGTTCCGCGCCCACCAGAGGAGGCGCGGCGCTTCCCCGCCCTTTCCAAACACATAAACAACAAGGCTGGTTGGGATGGGAACGAGCTCGATATGGAGATTCGTTCCCAACCTCGGTCTCTGCCTATCTAGGTCGCCTAGACAGCAAAGAGAAAACACTTCCTAAAGGTGAAGCAGAAGCTTTGGGGTCGATGCCACCCAGGCTGTGGGTTGGACTGGAATGACCCTCGGGGTCCCTTCCAGGCCAGCTCTAAACTTCTGATTGTAACGCTGCAGGAGGAAGAGGAAGACTGGCTTTAATATACTGTATATATAAAAGAGAACTGTGCTCATCCTTGCGACACCTTTCCTTTATTTCGACATTTGCACATTTCGAGTTGGACTGGAACAGCCCGGCGCCTCCGGGCCAGCCAGCGAAGGCCCACAGGGCTCCTCCCGCCTTTCCCGTCCCGTATTTCTCCCGTTACAGAAACAGGGGAGGGCAAAGGTTCGCGACAAAGTTCTCCAGCGCGCCCGTGTGCGCTCGCGGGACGCCATAAGGCTCCGCCCCAGCTTGGTAAGGAGCCTCCGGGTGGGGAGAAGGAACGGTGAGGGGCCCGTTGGGTGTTGTTGACTGGAAAAAAGGGGTCACGCTGCTGCGGCTGTTTCGGTTTCTCTTGGGCTGAGCGGTCGTCAGCGTCGCTCTTCCATGCTCAGGAGGAAGGAGGTCCCGGGCGCGGCGGCGGCGCCCCCTCCTCCTCCTCCGACCACGTCATGGGGTCCTCTCCTTCGCGGGAGCAACAGTTCCCGCGCACTCGGTCTCCCACAGACACGCTCGCTCGCGCCCGGGTGGCTGGGGGAGGGCAGCGAGGAGAAGGGAAACTGCGCGGCGGCGGCGGCGACGGCTCTGGGTGCGCAGCCACTAAGCCAGAGGCAAACATCTGCCTGACTTCACAGCAGCCGCTGGCACCGCCGGGACAAACAGGGCCGGTGCGCTCTCGTAAGTGGCGCGTTCGCTGCTCAGGAAGGGAAAGAAACTTTTAGATGTCGTCGTTGTTTGCCCGCCTTTCTTGCCTTGCTGTGAGGCAGCGGGAGGCGAGTGCCCTGAGGAAGCCGCTCGGAGTGCGGGGCGGCGGCACTGAGGGAAGGGCAGAGGGAGGAACTGGAACTGTTTGCCTCAAGAAGGAAGCGGCAAAGGGCGGGCGAGGAAGCGCGCGCGAGGTCCTCGCGGTTGGCTTTGGGGCTCAGGAGAAGGCGCAGCCTCTCAGCCCCTTCATTCCTCCCGCGGCAGAGCTCGGCGCCGCCAACTTGTGCAGGGACGACGCCCGGGAAGCCCCATGTCCTCGGGACAAGCAGGCACGTACCGGAGGAGGGCGACTTCCGAGTAATTTCTGCCAAGTGCCTGTGGAGTTGATCGCGCGTGCCTGCCGTTCGCTTCCCCCGCTGGCTAACAACAACCCCGCGTGGAGTTGAGGCGGAGCTCTGGCAAAGAAAGCAAGGGCCGGCCGGCTCGCCCCTCCCTGAGATCTCGCTCGGATGGTTGCTTACATTCCTTCCCCTCTCCGTTGGGCATGCGGTGCTCAGTTCTTGCAGAGGAGCGAGCAGACAGGTAAGGCTGGGGCGCTTCACGTGACCGCAGGAGATGCTGCTTTCCCTTCCATAAGCTTGCACAAGTTTCGCGTCACTCCCATCTTGCATTGTGCAAGCATCCGGCTAGCATCAAACTGAAACTTTGGCGCCTGGGAGGGCCAGACCCGAGAGGTTACTTGGAGTAGAGTCGTCCTCTGTGGGATGAAGGGAAGCTTGCTGCCTTTCAATGGCCAAAGGTCCTTGCTTTTATTGACCGAGTGATGGGCAGACAATCAACAGGTGCAGCTTCAGTTCTTGCTGATTCTTTATTGGTCTCTCCTCCGGTTGCTAAAGGTGCAAGTCCTCCATCTTTATAAAGAGTCATTCTCTTAAATTTTAAGGGGCCACTCAAGGGAGTTGCATTTAGCACTTTGGGTGGGGGGTGGGGGTGTACTGAACTCAAGTGTGCAATGCTTCAAGCTGTCCAGCACCTGAGTGTGGTCACGCCAATCCTCTGCCCACCTCTGTAAGGATTGTGTTGACAAATTGCAGACCATGTGCTACTAAGATGGCAACTTTGCATTTATTGTCATGCAGTAACAGACAATAAGAGGACAGGTCTCTGCCCCAAGGAGTTCACAGTCTAAAATTTCACCTAGGGGAAAAACCTAGAGAATTGGCTTACAGCTGCTTACAGCTAAAATATTGTTAATGTGCGTCTTTGGAGACCGTGAGCAGTTTTCTCGATGGAAAAGGTAAACCACTCAAATCCTGCAAAAGGTGCTCCATAAAGAGAACAAAACCCAAAGGGCTAATACTGCATAGCACAATGGACGAGTGCACTCCAGTAACAATGAATTCCCGATTTTTTAAGTTGATGAATTCATCAGTTCAACTTCACAGTCTGAAAAAATAGTGAGGATTGTTGTTTATGGCTCATAGAAGATGATGGCCCATTTCATATGTTATGATCCACATGTTCAAAGAGCACATGTGGAAGGGCAGGTTCTGGCTGTTGTCTACACCTGTTAACTGAATGTGTGAACAGGGCTTCCACACATGCTGCTTTATGTACAATGAGCCTGTTCTGGAATTCAGTGGAAACACAAATGGGGAGCGAGTGGAACCTGCTGTCATTTCCACCCCTTCCCATACATTGGTGCATTAATTACATATCAAAAGACTATTGTGTCTAAGTCTGTAATCCTATAATCATGTGCACACTGGCTAGGAAGAAAACCTATTTACACTGAATGGGTCATGTTTCTAAGTACATATCTGCATTTTCCAGTTTTATAAATTTAATGATTTTTGACCTCTTGATCCAAGTAGCAGTTGTCTGCCCCATGGCAGTAGTTTGTTGTTGTTTTTAGTAGAGGAGTTCTGGAGTTCTGAAGGCAAAGTCCTCCTTGTCGTAAGATAATCAAAGGTACAGGGCAATGACGTTTCTTGTTGAAAGAGCTTGACCCCTGGGCTTTCTGTGTAGTGTATTGTGAGTAAAGTAATGTTCAGGGGAACTAAATAAAGAAAAGAAAAAAGGTATGCCTAGCTTTTGAGAAAAGGCAGCTGTTGTGTTATCTTTTTAAAAGCTTTTTCTGAACGAGTGGAAGATGTTGTAGACAAGTTGCACAATGGAGTTGAATTAGAAGCCTCCTAATTGTGCAAATGAATTAGGAAAAAGCCAGAAAAAACTGCTTAGATAAATGGTGAGATTATGGTCTTGGAGGCTTTTAGTGTGATATTTATAAGACATGTTGGAAAGAACAAAAGTGTGCCTTGGTGGATGATAGGCATATGGACTAGTTACTTAGCTGCAATCCTATGAATATTTAAGTGGGAGAAACCCCCCACTGAGCACAGCAGGGCTTACTTCAGAGTAAACACAGTAGAGTTATGCTAGAGAGGTCCTTCTGACATTGAAGTTCTGTAATTCTCAAATACAGCAGCAAAAGAAACGGCAGTATGCCGTCAGGCGGGTTGCTACACAGAATTGCAGTAAATCTTGTCCCTTGCCTAAATGCACTAACATAGAAGATTACCATTGCAAGAGTTAGATTTAGGTAGGTAACTGTGTTGGTCTGACACAGTTGAAATATATAAAAAAGGGAAAAAAATTGTCCAGTAGCACCTTAGAGACCAACTAAGTTTGTTCTTGGTATGCACACAAAAACTTATACCAAACTTAGTTGGTCTCTACATTGCAAGAGTTCGTTATTTAGGATTGTGCACAGTGAGACTTTGCTGTAATGGACAGCACTCCCCCTCTCACACTATCCAGTACAGTCCCCTATTTTCTCCCAAAAGCTCCCCACAAGGGTTGGGGAACCCTTTGGAACAGTATATGCGGTATTGTGCAGAGGGCAGCAGTAGGTAGGCAGAGTGGGTGGATTGGCAACAAAAAAATGGGTGCCCTGCCCTGCTTCACACTTTCTACTACTGCACCACCAACAATGGATCACACAGATTAGGCTTTGCAATTTCCTGTAAAATGACACTGGTTTATGTCCTTCTCCAGTGCTTGCAAGTTATTACCCAAGTGGCATTTTTAACTTGGTGTGGTTAAATGGATTGAATTTTAGACTTGGGAACCATGGACTCATTAGGTAGTCTTTACCTAGACAGCTTCAGATTCCCACCTACAATTTTGCTATGTTGAGAGCATAGACAAGTCAACAACTGCAATGTGCTTTTGGATATCAAGAGTACTTTGCAGCATTAATGATTTGGCATTGAAATATTTTTCCTATCTGGAACTTAAAGTTAACTTTTCTGATGAGTGGTCCCTATAATAAAAGGGCACGGGTGTTGCTGTGTTTTTTAACGCACCATGAACTGAACATTCAAGACTGTCACCTAAGTCTAATTAATTACTGCTGTTAACCATAATTGATTCAATTAATCACTTCCTGGCTTTTGAAACTTCAGAATTTTAATTGTAACTTGTCACTTGGAAAGGGTGCATGCAATGTTCGTTAGAATAATTTTCACACAGATACAAATTCATATACACCACCAGCTTTACTTTGTCACTAGAAGATGAACCATGGAATTAAAAAACAACAATCCTGCACTGTATATCACTAGTATTTCAGTGACTTCAGCTGAGTAGCTGAATTATAAACCTTTGCTTTGCTCCCATTCTTTCATTTTCAAGTGACTCCACTGTCTACAGGAAGCTGCTCCACTGGTCTGTTGCTAGTCCAGCAATATCTGTTTGTAACTGAATCTCCAGGGTCTATCTCAGCTCAGAAGCCTGACATCTTTTTAACAGGAATTGCCAGGGATTTAACATGGATCCTTGTGCATTCAAAGCATGTCCTACCACTGAGCTGTGGATTGCTTCTTAATGCCCCTATAGCTGTGCTTTTAATAGCAGCTTAATGTGCACACATTAGCAGGTGATAAAGTTTCTCCATGTTGTTAAAAAGCTTTGCCTGATGATTTTGCACATCAAACACAAGAGCAGATTAGGTTGTTTTTCTTCTTCTGCTCAATTCCTAGCTATGAACAAAAGTAGAAAAAGATTTCAGTTCATTTGTGGTCAGTGGTAAGATGTAGCTGGATGCTTCTTGTATGATAATTTGAACTTTAAGTAAATCTTAATTACTGTAAACCTCATCTTAAAAAAGAACTGCTATTATAGCCCATAACTAGGTGCTAATTACATTTTTGCTGTTGTCTGCTAACATCCCTGTGCTCTGACCTGCAGCACTGACACACTCAGTTTCCATTGCCAAATCTTTTTTTTCCAAAGTACGAATTGAGCTGAATAAAGTTGCACACAGACTTTGTAAGCAAATAACCTAAATTTGCAGGAAAGTCATATTTGTCATTTGCAGATCTTAACTGTATTCTTTGGCTTTGCACTATTTGAAATCTGTATGCTTAACAATCTAGGGTTGCAGTCCTGTACAGTGGTACCTCGGTTTACAAACTTAATCCGTTCCAGAAGTATGTTCTTAAACCGAGGCGTGCTTTCCCTAATGAGCCCTCCCGCCGCTGGCGCCCTTCCACTGTTCAGATTCTGTTCTTAGACCGAGGTAAAGTTCTCAAACCGGGACACTATTTCCGGTTAGGCAGAGTTTGTACACTGAATCGTTCTTAAACCGAGGTACCACTGTACATACTTCCCTACGAGTAAGTCCCTGTGACCTCAGTGGAAGACATGCATAGAATAGCACTGCCGGGATGGCATTAATGTAGTTATCACTTTTTGAGAACCAGAAGTTTTCTCTGAAATAGTGGTGTGTGAATGGAGGAGGGGGAGTAACATAGTATTACACAGAGCTGTAGCTACAGGGGTGGGAGGGCTATCCGGGTTTTTTGCCCCGAGCGAAGCCTCCAAAGGGGTGCCATTGAGGCTCCAAACTTGTGTGTGTGTGTATGGAAATGTGTGTGGTATGCGTCCCAAACTGGGTCTTCGACCCGGGTGAAATCAAGCCTGGTTTCGCCCCTGGTATTGTGCCTCACATTGAACAGGAGGGCTTTTGAGAGTGAGGATGGAACCACACATTGCAAGGGAAACGGGATTCCAAAAGTGGAGCAAGCAAGAGGTGGGTGCTTAATCCTTTCCCCATCTGCTGATTGTATGTTGTGAATGCTTGCCAAGCAATTTTTAATCTCCTGTTCTCAAGCTGGGATTCCAAAACTAGAGACAAACCTGACCGATGAGGGAGAAATCAGCCAGTGGTGGGGGTTGTGCAGGTACAAGAGAGTACAGATTCACATCTACTCCAGACATTTAGAGCACAGTGACTTCCCCCAAAGAATCCTGCAGTTTGCTAAAGGTGTGTGGAACTGTAGCTCTGTGGGAAGTAAACTATGGTTCTTAAGGTTCTTTGGGAAGCTATGTGCTTTAAATGTATGGTATTAAGGGCAGTTCGAAAGCACGTCAAAGTGCAAGTAGATAAATAGGTACCGCTCCGGCGGGAAGGTAAACGGCGTTTCCGTGCGCTGCTCTGGTTCGCCAGAAGTGGCTTAGTCATGCTGGCCACATGACCCGTCATAAAACTTTCATTCCATTCGCTGATGTTTCCACCA